TGGCCCGTAACAAGCGGCTCAAGACGTTGGTCAGCACGCGCCAGCCACTAACGGACAATTATATCGTTAATCTTGCTTTCGTGCATACAAACAAACATCCCCGTACAGACCGGGATGAGTAAAAAGGCATGCGTAAGAGTGTACGAGATTCCACAGAATAAAAGCGTGAGATTCAGGGAAACCGGATAAATAAAAAAGTTGTAGCGCATGTGTGAGGATTAAGCAATGTATATCCGCAAAAAAAAAGTACGATGGAAGGTGGAATGGGTCTGATCGTGGTCTATCCTTTGGTTAACAGTAAATCCATGCCTCAGGAGCCAACGTCCATGACCACTGGGGGCGAGACGCGTCGATAGTTGCATTGAGTCTGTATATTACGAATTTTTTATGTTCGGAATAACATAACGGAGGTGATTTACATTGGCTGAAGCATATGAGGTCATTGATCCACCGTTTTTCCTATTTTTCTTTGAAAATTTTTTCCCTCTTTATTTTATGTTATTCATAACGGAGTGATGGGCGAGTTATGGATTTTTAATGTGCATGAAGGCACGTGACGAATGTGCGAGAGAATGCCATTGGATGACAAGGGGAATGGATTTGATTTGTTTCAGATGATTTTGGTTCAGGAATTTACCCGCAGATTCATGAGCAGATACGGTTGAATAGATTATTTTTATTCGTGGGTGTGTCTTGTTAAGAGGGTGATTGAAAATTCGTTCTCAATTTTTGAGGCAATCGCGTTTTTACGCATCCGTTGGTCGCAGTGGTTTACCTGGCGAGTTGGTAAGTGACGTTTATGATACAGGTGAAAAGAAGGGCACTTTTTTACACGCTTCGCGCGCAAAGAACCGCCTTTTTCTCACCAGTAGTAAAATGCACTTCCTGACGAGTGTGATTGCAGACCTCGCCTTCGGCTCGGTCTCACACTCGCTCACCCTCGTCAACAATTATTTTTTTTACTTGTACCGTAATGCACACTGAGAAAAAAAATTATTTTTGCCAAATAATGTCTTCCACGAAATTTCAAAAAAATTCTAACACTTTAAGTCAAACTCTATAAAAATTTCAAAAAATCTGATTCTACTACAGTTTCAATGAAAAACCACCCACCGATAGCCGGCAAACATCTAAACACCTGCATTTGCGTTGCGCATGAATAATTCCGTTCCCCTCCATTTCTCAAAACTTCATTAATTCCGAAAATCTCCGAAAGATGTATAATTGAGCCAACGGTTGAACGATCGAAGCAATAATAATCCCGCGAATTCACCGACCGAATCAGTGACGAGATCCCGGTTTGCATGGGATCATAAATTTATAGTTACCGATTTAACGATCCGAAAAACCAGTTTTTTAAATTCAAAACCCATCTGTTTCCAAATTTAAAAGTAAATAAAGCAGTTATACTCATTGAGAATGACGACATTGACCCAGAATTAAAAATTTGAAGTGGAATTGGTGTTGAAGAGTCAGTAACCGCTTAACTGATTCGTGCATTTTTTATTTTTATTTTTATTACTTGGCTGGTTCGCTTTTTTCTTATATCTGAATCGCAATTTAACGTTTCTCGGCACGGTGATTTCTACCCTGGTAGCCCTTGGACCGTAATGCCGTGCATCTTATGCATGGGCCTACTCCTTTTGTACTTTATGCATCACAGGTGTACAATCTTAATGAGAAAATCGAAACAAACATTTCAAATGTGTTATCTGACGCGTTATGGCATCTATCATCGTGTTCACGGTATATTCACATTTTTTATGCTCATTTCATAATCTTCCAATACATCAAAACAACGCATTTTTTAAATTATCATCTTTGTCGTATGTTTTTTAAAGACATATTTTACGGGAAAAAGTCGAGAGATTTTTTTCTACCCGTATTAGTTATTCTTCTGAGATTTTTCTGTATAGATTTTTCGTAAGAATTTTAGTAAGATGTTTTTAATTGGCCAGCTGATCAATTAAAAACATCTTGATTGGCTGGGACACCCCCCACCACTTTACCTACCCCCTCCAGGGGTCAGGGGGTATATAAGGACTTCCTTACAACGGGGAGCTTCAGTATCGGAACAACCTAGCCCTGATGATGCAGACTGAAATGTTTGCGAAACGTCGGCAAAAAGCTGAATCTAGACGCGGCATCCATCCGGAAGCGATCATAATGAAAGTATTATTTCTGTACTGCTTCTCACGATTTCTCGTCTGAGAATTGGTATTACATACTTCCCAAACTCGAACACTTGAAAATCACTACAGAAAAATATTGTTCCTGGGCTGTTGCGATGGGGTTTTTTTGCTCGTGTGGTTGGCCACTCCTCGCCTACGACTCGGAGGCCAACGCCACACGAGTAAAATACCCCATCGCAACAGGCCGGAAAAATACTATTTTCTTGGGTGTATGCAAGGGCTATCAGAAGCCGCAGTAGCTGCTTGCGCCATGTGTATGTGCAAGCTCTGGCTCACGGCTTCTATACATTTAGTTTTTTGAGCTATCAGAATCATCTCTTTTTTTTCATATTCATCTTAGATGTCCATAACTTGGTCATTGATGGTACGGTATGACAATTTTTGACTGAATTCATAACTAAAAATTCTAGTATTTTTTTTCGCCGCGTACAAAAATTATTCTGTTGAAGTTTTTCATGAGACACAAAGAGAGATACAATACAGAAAAATCAGAAGGAAAGAAGAAATCGAAATTTATTGTTGGCTCCGAATGGAAGCTTTATAATCGTTCAAATTTACGAAAAAAATTAATTTTGAACCATGGAAATACGGAAAGTATCATTATTTCGCTAGAAAAGTATAATAAGTGCGATAGAACCGGAGTCCGAGAAATATTTATAATACGACTTGACAGACGAAATGGGCAAAACGGATTCAAATGGAGTGCGACAGTTCGATATCAAGATTTTGAAATGACAAAATTTTTACGCGCAAAATTAGGAAATGATCGCCAATGGCCATGTCCTCTGAATTCCCATCTCACCCCTATTTACTCGAAGCAAAATCATTAACAGGTGAAACTGGCTCAATAGTAATTAAGCCTCATACTATTCCATTTGATCTTATTGTCCATTTTACTCCGCCGTCTCTTTTACTCCACTATCCCGTTTTACCCCGATATCCCATTTCACCCCACTCTACCCCAATTCCTAGCGTAACTAGACTTCCATACCGATCTTTCAACACTCCGTTGGTCGCACCGTAAGCGCCGCGCCCCACCAACATAAATTCACATAATGATAAGTTTAAAAGATCTAGAAAAAATAAATAAAAAATCAAGAGTGATCTAGATCTTATACTCGTAGAAGTCCCATGAAATTCTTTATGTTCAGTGTTACCCTTAATTAGATACTCAAGCTCAAAGTTGCCATGTTTTGCTAAAAATTCGCTTTGTCCACGGTAACACGGCCCGGAGTTTCGGAGTAAAAATTTGAAAATCTAACTACTTATGATATTTTTGGCGGAAATTTTTCCATTGATAGAGCTTCTAGACACTTTAAAATGAGGTGTCAAATTTTTTCAAATTTTTCTGACGCTTTACTGCAGTGTAATTTAAACAAGTGGGAAATTGCTGTTGTATTGAATATAGTATACTGATTTTGACTAATAAATTAGCTTTTCAATGGTAATTTTGCACATCATTTCTTTCTATCATGAATAATTCATTATTTATTTCATTTTATTAAATTGTCAGTTTGTCAACTTAGTTGAATGTCATCATCATCATTATTTTTATGATCCCTTTCTCCTATACAACCGATTGCCTTTTTAACAGGTCTATCTCCCCCCTCAGCCATTCGATAAAATGTTAATAAAAAATGTTATTTGTACATAATTGAATGAATTTGAAACATCACTTTTGAAGAAACCATTAGAAAGTTCACTTTCAATGAAATTCCTGAAAAATTCGAAATTTTCACAGTCATCATCAAAATCAAATAAACTAATATAGCTATCGTACTCATCTTTTAACTTCGACTTAATGGCATTAAAACAACCATTTCAAGCTATAATTGAATTAATTTGAAGCATGATATCCAAAGATATCCCGGAAATTCTGATCTTAAAAAAAAACAGAATTTTTGTAAATTTTCAAATAAATTAAAATAACGATTATTGCTATTGCCTTCATCTTCGAACTTGGTCAAAAGAACATCCAAACAATTTTTTGAAGCCATCATTCAATGAATTCACAACATTTTTTAGTTATCGCGAAAAAAACATTTTTTGGAAAATTTAAAAAATTAAAAAAATTAATAAATAAATTAAATTTTAATTAATGGCGATAGGGCTTAACAATACCTATATATGAGGGGAAAAAAGATTCGATTCTATACATTCATTAGCAAACAATCGAAGAAAAATTTGTTTACATACGTACACACATACTTACATACGAACGGATACGGTCTAAAAATTACAATTTTCAACTTTTTGGGTCACAATGGGTCGACATAACAACCCAAAACTTAAATTTGAACGATTACAATGCTTCCATTCGGAAGTAAAAATCGGAAAAAGTGCAGCGTCGGGCTCATAAAATAATACCGTCTATGGCACATGTTTTTTTTTCTAGAATTCTTTCTCTAGAAATTTTCCCGTTTCTTTTCACTCCGCAATGCCAAAGCCTTAGTGACAGAATTAAGGAATAAAATGTCTCCATTGAGGACTCCCAACTGAAGATAGGACAATCGCGTACGATGCCCAGAAGGATGGTTGTTAACCGAAGCACCGGGCATGCATTAACAGTACTCGCCGGATGGTTTTACTCCGCTTCTTTGCCTCTCTTCCCTCCACCAGGTACTCCTGAGGCCCAAGGGGGCTCTTCCCATTCGACTCGTCTTCACGGTGTTTGTCGTTAACCATCAGTTCATCGCGAACCTTCGTCAAAATTGCATCATTACTCTGGAGCAATTGATCGACTGGTCGATAAGCGAATCGCGTGTGCATTGATTTCGTTGGATCTTCCTCTTGTACGTAATCAGGAACATGTGGCGATTACTCGTTGCTGGATTCTGCACGGTTTGTGATGTTTCAATTGTGTTTGAGGGACAAAAAATTGTTGAGTGAAAATTCAGTGAAGAATTTCAAGAATTTTACACCATTTTTTAAATTAAATAACAATGATGGGGTGTGGAAATTCGATGACGGATGATAGATGCATATTTTTGGTTTTCGAAAAATAATGAAGAATTGAGAAGTTATAGCTGAACAATCCACGAGGGTTTTTCTGTGGCGTTTGTGTGCAGATTTTGGTCACCCCAGTGGGCTGCAGCTCGCATTTTTCATTATTCATTATTCATCGAAAGGAAAAATGACCCTGTATCACTGTGAATTCAATTTTCACATTTAATGCAAAACCCCAATTCAGTGGTGGAGTGGTAGAACGAGATGCGTCAATTTCCCCAACGTTGAATTTTTTCTTAATTACAGAGATAAAAGGGATCTAGTTCTTACGGATATATCCGCAATTTGCGGGAGGTCATTCTTAATTTTTAGAAATCTATATCTAATTTTGAGGTATTTTTATCCCTAATATTTCTTGACTAGAAACTTTAGAAATTTTATCACTAAAAATTATGGTGAATATTCACATAGTTTAAATAGTATTTATGACATGCGTCAATTTCCCCAAAAGTAGATTTTTTTCTTGACTACAGAGATAAAAAGGTTCTAGTTTTTAAAGATATATCCGCAATTTGCGGGAGGTCATTCTTAATTTATAGAAATCTATATCTAATTTTGAGGTATTTTTATCCCTAATATTTCTTGACTAGAAACTTTAGAAATTTTATCACTAAAAATTATGGTGAATATTCACATAGTTTAAATAGTATTTATGACATGCGTCAATTTCCCCAAAAGTAGATTTTTTTCTTGACTACAGAGATAAAAAGGTTCTAGTTTTTAAAGATATATCCGCAATTTGCGGGAGGTCATTCTTAATTTATAGAAATCTATATCTAATTTTGAGGTATTTTTATCCCTAATATTTCTTGACTTGAAACTTAGAAATTTAATCACTGAACATTATAGTGACTATTCAAATAGTTTAAATATTATTTATTTCAAGCTACAGGCAAACGCCCATCGAAGCCTGCAGAAAGCTACACACCTAATACATAAAGTTACGTATGCAAACGGCAAATAATACTAAGTACAAACATTCTAAAATACACCGGCATTATTTACATTTCCATGGCATTATTCAGAAAAGAAGTTAAAAAATTCAGGAGTCACAGCAGTGTATCTATATTATCATTACTATAACCTTCACATTTATTAGAATAAACGATCAACCAAAAATGGAACCAATGGAATGTGATGACCATCGGGAGTATTTGTCTTTTATTTTATTTTCTTGGTGAGATTGTGATTTTTCCTAGTTACCTTTCAAGCATGTGGTAATAAAAAACCTTATGAAAATATTAAACACTGAGATGCTTATCAAGAACTCACCCGAACATGTCAAGTGGACATGTCTCTCGTTTTATCACTCGGCTGCAGAGTTTAAATTGATTTTCTCGAAATTCTTCTTTCTTCACGACATCTAAAATATTTGACACGTCTGATTAGATATTAGGAACACTAGCGCAGGACTACGAAGTGTCGAATATTCAATGCAGCGCATCGACAGCGACCGCAGATCTTCTGACAGCGAAAATAAAACGCCCGATTGGGTTCAAAGGCTCACCGCTATTTGCGGATGACAGAGCGGCGGATCCATTGACCGATATTCATTGTCAAATACGCCCCGAGCCGTCAGATCCTCAGGAGGACCATTACTTCTTGAAAGTGACGGATTTTGCGCGCTGTGGAATTCTCAAAAGAAATGTAAGACATGGAAATTCAGAAGAGAAAACATCAGGGGGAAGAAATAAGAATAAACGTAGAAATAAGAATAAACGGATAACAAAATCTACAGAAGATTATACGAAAATGAAAAAAAAAGTACTGAATAAGATGTAAAAATGGAGTGAAAATGCGGCAGAATTTATTGCATCCGTTTTTTTTCCAATTTCATAATTTTGAGTGGAAATGCCTAGAAGTGTCACGAAACATGATAAATGATGTCCCCATAATTCGAGAATTATTAACGCAAGCAGTGACAAAAAAATTGGTTTATCAAGAGATTTTCATTCGGACCAGCTATCATCTGGTTGTTATTTTTCAAATAAACATGATTTCATAGTGAATACCAGTTATTTCGGTTCCCGCACAAAATTCTTTGGGAAAAAAATCTTTGGAAAAAATTCTTTCAAAAAAAATTCCTCCGGAAAATTCCTTCAAAAAATATTCCTTCGGAAATAATTTTTTCATGCAATATTTCCTCCTGTAAAAATGCCTCATGCAATAATTCTTTCCCAGAAGCATGGGATAAAATCCTTTTGGACAGCATAATCTCTCCGAAAATCCCATAGTTAATTAAAAAAATATTTAATCAATATAAAAAAAATATTTCCATAGTTTTTTCTTCTCAAATTTTTTTTCCAAAGTAATTATTTGCCAAGTAATTTTTTCCAAAACAATTAGTTCTGAAAGAAGTTTTCCAAGGAATTTTTTCCAAAGGAATTTTCGGCGGACACCGATCTACGGAAAGCTCAATTTAAACATCGGTTTCATTTGAGCAACATTCAATTGATTACGTTTGGAAAGGGAAAAATTTATCCTTTGCCTCACATTTTCTATACAATTTCCAATAAAAATTCTTAGAATACAATTTTGCTCTTCGATTATCTAGATTAGAAAGTGTTCAACAGAATCGATGAAAAGCTAATGAAAGTTTCAGTGAAAGCTCAATAACAATTCAATGGAATTTTCTATCTAAGCGCTAGGCAACTATGAAACCTATGAAATTATTTGGCACATAAAGAAAAATATTGTAGTAGTAACCAACTCATAGAATTCGACACATCGAGAAAATATTATATTTCGCTACGCGTGCGAAAATATGCTATTTACTCTGAAATTAATGTTTTGTTCTACTTAAACTATGGAAATTAATAACTCTATAATTATTCATTGGATCTTTGTGTAAAATATGGTTGCTAAAGTTGATGGCTGATTGCAATTTTGTTCGTGAACTCAGAACGATGTACGTTAAGATGAAATAATATCCTTGATTTCGGAATGATTTATCCTCGCCAAGGGCTTGGAACAATAAATTCTATGTTTTTACATTTGTAGGGGTTTATTCACCTGAGAATATGGTTCCCGGCATTTCCAGGAGTTGTGATGCTGGCTGACCAGGAGTTGATACTCATGTGCAGACCTCCAGAGCCCACTTTGTTAAGGCACAAAGCTGCTGGCTTCGCAGGAACTTTGTAAGTCGATAGATTATGTATAAAAAGAAAAACGACATGCTTGACCGATAAATAATTTCCGAGGAAATTTGTTCACTTCTGACAAAAGTTATTGCTTTACAACACTAACTAGCAGCAAAAAATTCAGATGTTTACTGCCACCTCAATGGGTACTATGAAAATTACAATGTTTCGAATGCTTTGTATGAACGAGTATACATATTTTCTGTTCAAATTTCAAGTTGATATCTCGATTTTACACAAGCTAGCGTAATTGCAAAGTTTTTTATGAAAAAAACGGAAAAACGCAAATACCTCGAAGACTTTGTATGAACGGGTATATATATTTTGATTGATTTATATAGAAAACAACAAAACGAATATTTCGAAAAGAAAAAAATCGGAATCGGTCCACTAGTTTTGAAGATATTCGCGGAAAATGATTTAAAAACGAATCGCTTTTTCTCATAAACTGTTGGATCGATCGGGCTGAAATTTTATACAGACTTAGTTTTCATTAAGACCTATAATCTGACAACATTTCCGATTTTTTGGAATCACTTTAGCCGCTCAATTATTCAATTTTCAAAAAATTGACCACCGGGAAGGTCGCGGTGAACATGCTCACATGCAGACATGGTCGCCAAACTTCGTATTTTTACCTTTCAAACTATTCTACATCATTCCCAATAAAAATGAGAGAATGTGAAAATTGGACGATTACAGTGCTTCTATTCGGAAGCAAAAAGTTGAAGAAAAATTACCAAACAAGTCAACACAGAAAAATTTCCTAAAACCATAAACGAGTTGCTATAAACGAGTCACAATTTCTGCACTTGAAAAAATTATTGCGCAGCACCAGAAAACTTCTTGCGCAGCACCAGTAAAATTGACATGCAACACTGGAAAAATTATTGTGTAGCACTAGAAGAATTATCGTTCAGCATGTGAAAAATTATTTGGGGCACCATAATTCCACGCACGATTGCCGCACGAAAATTTTTTTTATGCTACACAATAACTTTTCCAAGTGTGCGGACTGTGACTCGTTTATGGTGCTTAGCACATGAATTTTTCTAGGAAATTTTTCTGTGTACATATAAAAGAAAGATGTTTGCAAAACTCCAATTGATTCATCATTTTCACACAATAATAGTTCGTTCCGTTGAGCATTACAGTGATAATCTTTGAAGGTTTAATCATTATTACAGTCCCCACGGCGCTCGTGTCTCAGGAGTAGTTGAAGAAACCCCGGGCAGACTCGAATACGAAGTTGCATTGTACAGAGAAGCAACCGGAAATAGTTCAGAGAATGCCCTAGGATCGGAGGCTGTGGACCAAGCGGTTCCCATTGGCACGAAGCTGCAATTACGTGCGAGAATAAGTCCCGAGAGTGCTTGGGGGTACATTAAACTGCTCGAAGTCACTGTTAGCCCTGATCCTGACCAGCCACATGCACCTGGAAGTGTTGTACTCGTTAAGGAGGGCTGTAGAAATCGAGATTTTGCCTCGATTATTCCACACCAGCCTGCCAGGTATCGAGAGAGGAAGAATGAAGTTTTTCTTGACTTTGAGGCGTTTTTGCTTAGTTCTATGAGGGAAAGGTCGACGCTCTGGATTCATTCACAGATCAAAGCCTGCATGGAACCTCATGACTGCCAACCGGTGAGTGGGAGGGGTAAAATGGACGAAGCTCCGCTTTGCTCCGCGTCATGACAAAAAATATTATTCGTCATACGGCCAAAAAAAACTTTTCTGACGAATATGATTGCAGCCCTCGCCTTCGACTCGTACTGCGAACCTCATATTTGCCAGAAAATTTTTTTTCGGCCTAATGACGAAATATACTATTGTAATAATGAGTAGACCTTGAGTTAGATGTTCATCACGTTACTGTTGAGTTTATTCTAGTCTCAAAAAAATCAATGTCAATCTTTTTAGATGAAGATTAGATTAATTCTTCTTCTAAATATTGACAACGGACTATCATGCTTTCTTCAATATTGATTTATCTCTGTAAATTCAGGACTTTTGTTTGGATTTATTCGAACCATCTGGTCACGGAAAGAGGAAAAGACGAGCCGCCGGATTCGTCGAGGAGACCAACGAGAATGGAATACCAAAGGCGGAGAATTACCTGAAGAAATACAATGACACGACGCAGTTCACGAAGATCAAGGAGAATATAGAGTACACTGTCATGATGCCAAGTGGTAAGTTGCCCTCAATATTCGGTACACAGAGAGACGAAGTTTCTGGTTTTCAAAGACAAAACCTACTGGATTTCAGTTAAATTCCTCTGAGAATCAGAGAAAAAGTTGTAGTTCTCAGTAATTTTTCACTGAAATCCAACACCGATGGTCACGCACGAAAAGATTTAATAAAAAATCCTAGCAAATTCGGTAGATAATTCGATTGGATTTCTATTGAACTTTCTATCAGTTTTTGGCCGATTCTATTGAAATAATCAGTCGAAAATATTCTATAGAAAAATCGAATTCCATTGACTTTTTCTATAGAATATTTTCGACTGATATATCTTCATTTGACTACTAATGAAGACTATTAATGGTCTACTCATTTCAGGGGGACTGATATAACTTAAATTTTGAAAATTAAAATCTGAAATAAATTCAAAATAAAAGTGAATAGGAGTAGAAACGTTCTAGTTGTGTTATAGAAAAATCGAATTCCATTGACTTTTTCTATAGAACGTATTCTATTAAGATATTTTCAGTAGTAATACCCCGAGAGCTTCAAAATGATCGGTTATTTCCCGATAGCTTCGTTGCAAACAAACGAGAGTGTCAAGTTTTTTAGGTTTGAAAATCCCGAGCGCGAAGCGCGAGGAATTTTCCTACAAAACTTGACACGATCGTTTGTTTAGCGAATACGCTAGGTTTTTCCATCAAATTTTTTCATAAGGGGTATTTAAATCAAGGCACTTTGGTGATGGAATCCAGTTCTTTGGGTTCTTAAAATAAGAACCGTTGGGTACTGAAATCAAAAACCCTGGGGTTCTTTATATAAACATCTTGAAGTCCTTAAAGTAGTATGAACATAACTTAAATTTTGAAAATTAAAATCTGATATAAATTCAAAATAAAAGTGAATAGGAGTAGAAATATTCGAGTTGTGTTTGTGGTCAATTGGCAGTCAAGTATTATTGATAATAATGAATCTAGATGTACAAAAATAACGGAGAGTCTTATGAGGAGATAAAGTTTCCGAGGTTATGGAGAAGATTAGAATCTAGAAAAAATCTTTAAAAAATTAGAAAAAATAAATAAAAATGGATGGCCTAATATAAAAATTATCGTCAATGTCAAATTTTTGTAATAAATGGTTTATGTTTTTGTGTGCTCCAAATGGCGTGTTACGTCGAAACACCCTAGTCAAATGAGAGACTATTATTCAACACTCCGTTCCTCGCGCTATGAGGGACGCGCCGCGCTTTTTCCAATTTTTTAAATTACACTGCAGTTAAGCTTGAGAAAAAATTTGAAAAAATTTAACATCTAATTTTGAAGTATCTGAAAGCCCTATCAATGAAAATATCCGCCAAAAATATCATAAGTAGTTGAATTTTCCAATTATCATTCCGAAACTCCGGGCCGTATACCGTGTATAAGGCGAATTTTCAGAAAAACATGGCAACATTGAGCTTCAATATATAATTAAGGGTAACACTGAACACAAAAAATCTCACGGGAATTCAGATTATTTTTTCAGATTTCTCCTAGATTTTTCAAATTTACCAGTATGTCGATTTATGCCGGTGCAGTGAAAAATTATCGTTATTAAGGTATATCCTTAGAAAAGAGGTTTTTCTTACGATTGTTGGCATGCTCTTCATAGATAATGTTGATAATATTTTTCAGTTATTGACAAAAAATCCAACCAGTTGTACTGCACAGTTTAGGAGATAATAAATAATGAAATGCGGACTTCTCTAGCACGCGAGGTGTAGGCCAAATGGGGTTATGGGTCGCTCCGAACTCGATTGTTTCATTTTATGAGAAAACGGTTCTTACGATGTTCTTGAAAAACTAATCCGTGATAGATTGGTAAATGCCGAATAGCGTGAATTTTTTGTAAAATTTTGTACTACATAGTTACTGCGATATTCACCGTACTCTAAAAATGGAAATTTTATGGAATCATTCCTTATTTGAGTCAAAATATTAATTAACAAATACTTTCTTATTTGATTCAAACAATTATTGTTGCCTGCATCAACCACACATAAGAATAAAAAAACTCAATAACTTATGAGAGTGCAATAGATTAAGTTATTTAAAATTTTATCCGGAAATCCAGGGGGACTAACTTTTGGGTCCGACTGTCTTGGGATATAACTTAAGGATGTTCTACACCCTTTCTGCCAAAATTCACGTTTTTTTAATTTTTCTGGCAAACTTATGATGGAATTGACGTGAAAAAATATAACGTTTTTGCGTTTTGTCATTATTTAATGACTGACGAAATTTTAAGGTGGTGCGAACATTTTCCTGCGTTTTCTCTAAACTTTTAAAAAGAATCACAAAACTGTAGAAAAAACGCATGAAAATTATCGCACCACTACGCAACTTCGTAAGCCATTAAAGAATGACAAACCACAAAATCGTTATATTTTTTCACGTCACTCCCATCGATAATTTGCCAGAAAAATGAAAACAACGTCAATTTTGGCTAAAAGGGTGTCGAACATCCTTAACCCTAGTCTGGTCACCAAACGCGACCCTGCGAATCGGTCACCTCCGCTGGGATTCCCCGCCGTGTTATTTAGGCTCTAGCGTTACCGAATACACTCTACACTCCCGGGCGCGTTTACCGAGTATCCGGCAACGTCGCATAATGGGAAATTTTGTTTAACATGGGAAAAAATAATTCATCTGTTCGAAATAATTTGTTCTAAAAACTACTATAATTCGTTAGACACTTCAACTGATAAAGTCAATTTTTTGGAATTTTTCCGGTTAGCCAGTCGATTGTAATTACAGAAAAACGACGCGGGGTGGGGTTTCCTTCACATGGTGACCAATTTAGAGTTAATCAACTAATAATTTTTCATTTGGTTCAAATAGTTATTGTTACCTGCATCAACAACACATGAGAATACAAAAACTCAATAACTTATGAGAATGCAATAAATTAAGTTATTTAGAATTTTCTCCGAAAATCCATAGGGACGAACTTTTGGGTGGTATTGTCTGGCGATATGCCTTAATTATGATGTGACATCACAACTACAGCAATCCCCTCTCCTCCCGCACTCCGTCGCGAGTCGTCTCAAATTACGGAACCTCCTCCCCTCAAACGCGTGACGCAATATTTGAATGCCCCCAACAGTTCTTATTTTAAGAACTAAGGATTCTTGATATTACCAACCAAGCCTTCGGCTCGGATTATAAAACCACATCCGCCAGATAATACTTTTATCGCCTGATGACATAATATACTATTTTTACAATTAAAAAAATCGTCTGATTGACCTAGATCTCTACGATAAAGCGGCAGTCGGCTTTGAAGGCAGTTGCGGAAATTTTCTGTACGTAGCCACTGGCCTTGGAATACTTCTCGTGTTCTCAGCATTTATCATGTGTTATCTGGCCTCACGTCTGCACAGTCTGGCGTCAAGTGTACCTCAAAATAAAACCATCGATGATTTGGTGAGAGACAGAGCGAGAAAATTCTGCGAACCGACGCCTGGTTACACTGGTCGCTCAACTGTGCAATAATCTTAGACTCTTCGTACCTAGATAATATCTCGTCCATGAGAGAGAGTGGAGAACAATGGGAATACCTGTACTGCTTCTTACGATTCTTCGTCTGGGAATTAGTATTGCATAGTTGCAAAACTCGGAAACTTGAAAATCCCTGCAAAAAAATCTTGTCCCCGGTTGTTGCGATCCCATTTGTTTAGTCGTGTAGTTGGTCAGCCTTCGCCTTCGGCTCGGACGCCAAGTCTACACGAGTGAAAACCCCCATCACAACAGCCCGGAATTATGTGGGAAATTAATTTCGTCACAACATAGTCTAAATATTTTTCTTGTACGTAAAGTAAAATTTTTTACATTGTGATGAAAAATAGGGTTCGACACTTGTGGGAAATGTGTTCTTTGACCCTTGGGAGGATAGCACTCCTCTTCAACGCTAAACGCCTCAAACGGGTAAAAAACACTTTTACATACTCGTATCGAAATATACTATTTAAGGCCCGGGTGTACTATCTTTCGAACATTATCTCGATGTTTTTTTTCATCTTTCGTCATCTGAAATTGTCAATTGAGTCCTGCATCATGCCGAAGTTTTCAAAAATTATGAATGAATAATTAAAAAAAAGTAGAAGAAATTCTTAATTTTTTCAAAGAGCATTTTTAATTTATGTTCAGAATAAGTTAAATAACAAGAAATTGAAAAATGTATCTGATTTACGGTGACAAATTGCGGCCTGTCACCCAATATCATGCAGGGGAAAGACTGATTTCGTAAATCTTTTCCCACACTGCACAGAGACATTTATTGCGGAAAAGGCTCTTTGAAAAAAGTTGTAATATTTTAGACAATTCCCACTTTTTTCAACTCATTCTGAATCTCAATTAAAAACGCTCTTTCAAAAAGTTCAGAATTTTTTCTTTTATTTTTTATCATTCTATCATAATTTTTGGGAATTTCTACATGATGTACCACTCAATTGACAATTGTGGATTACGAAAGATTTTAAAAAATCCCGATAGCATTCGAAAGATAGTACACTTGCGCCTTAAGCTCTTCCCTGAGCTCCAACATCTATCCATGTTGTCCCGCCCTCTCACTGTAACAATAATTAAATACTTCATGCACATTGCACATTTAGCATTGAAAATTTCCAACTGGAACTTTTAGTAGAAGTTCTTAAGAATTTTAAATGTCCACGAATTCATGAGTAATGAACTAAAAAGGTCATGCCTTTGTTTCTACTTGTTTTTGAGGAATACCTCTAAATCTAGCAGAGATTTCCTTTTCGGAGAAGATCCTCAAAAAATTTCGCTATTCCTCTTAGATTCAGAGATATCCTACTCGAAATGATGGTGAGATCAACCTATAAAGTTCTACCTCTTCACTATTGAATTTTCAGACTTTCACAGAAAATTATACTGGAATGGAACTGAATTCTCCTGACGCGTCAAATATGCATGTTGAATCATTCATTGCAATGAAATTCCATTAATTTTTCTGACAAAATAAGAAGACTCTGAATCTTCCCTAGGAATAGGAAATCTCATTTATCATGGATTGATGGAGTCATAAAATTATTGAAGAACTGCTATTCAGTGCTCCATGAGAAATGTTTTGAGGAATACCTCTAAATCTAGCAGAGATTTCCTTTTCGGAGAAGATCCTCAAAAAATTTCGCTATTCCTCTTAGATTCAGAGATATCCTACTCGAAATGATGGTGAGATCAACCTATAAAGTTCTACCTCTTCACTATTGAATTTTCAGACTTTCACAGAAAATTATACTGGAATGGAACTGAATTCTCCTGACGCGTCAAATATGCATGTTGAATCATTCATTGCAATGAAATTCCATTAGTTTTTCTGACAAAATAAGAAGACTCTGAATCTTCCCTAGGAATAGGAAATCTCATTTATCATGGATTGATGGAGTCAAAATGATTGAAGAACTGCTATTCAGTGCTCCATGAGAAATGTTACATGCATTGGCAATTTACAGCCAAGAATTTGATAACTTGACGTGAATTCTGAGAATCTTTTACTAGAAATTTCATGCAGAAATTTTCAACAGGAGAAGAGGGTAAAACAGAAGCCTTTGACTTCTTTTCAATATTAAGGGAGGACTCCTATGAGTTTTTAAATATCACGGGTTGCCTTAGTGAAGATTTCCATATATTCTCTTTATATTCGATATATGCAAAGACGGATTTACTGTGGAAATAGTCATTATTTATTGTCCGTTAGCCGTGTATAGACGTCTGAAATGATATAATCGAAACAACGATGTACACTGTTACAAAAAAATTAAATTTCATAGTGCAGTTGACTGCTAATTTTCAGGACAGTGGGACGGTAAAATTGCAGAATTTTAAGCAGCATAAAAGAGAATTCCTTAATTTATTTGAATTTCCAATCTAATATGAATATTCAATGCCAAATTACTTTGAATTTTCAGTGAAATATGAAATTTCATGATTTTTTCCCCCTAAATCGCATTCAGTGCCACTGTCCTGAAGATTCAAGAATATATTTACCGGAATTTTCTGGGTTTCTATTCATTTTCAGGGAAAAATAGAACCGAAATTTACAGTTCTCTTTGATTTTTCCACGAAATTCTGAATTTTTAGTGACGAAATTCATTGAAGTTTCAATAATAATTAAATTCGATGAAAATTTCCAAAAAGTGTACCGGAAAATTCAGACAAAATTTTTTTACAGTGTAGTGCCCTCAATTTTTGAGATAGACAACTTTTATTTTTCTCCAGAATTTTTCGCAAAATGTGCAGAAAAACAATTATAAATCTCTTTTTTTAGTTTTGAAATCTTAATCAAGATAAATGTTCCAATACTTCATACGATTTTTTATATAAAAAAAATGAATTCTGCTATTGAGGAGTCAAATATTGACAACAGCATTTCGTAAAATTTGAGAGAAAAAAAGTATTCCATCTTAAAAATTCAGCAGACTGGACTTTTTTCAATTACATTGTTTTAGACTTCTGTTTGAATTGTAGACATTTTTTAAACATTAAAGTAATATCAACATAACTCGAATTTTGAAGATTAAAACCTGAACGAAATTCTAAACGAAAGTAAATACACCTTTGGCATTTTAAAATTGTTTTTTCTCGTTACACTCAGTGATTCAACTGAAGTCTATTCGAACTACTTTGATAATCCGCAGCATTGAACGTTTATAGTAGTCTTTCCTCAATAACTCATTGAATTTTCCAGGAAATTAGATAACTTTTTTTCAATAAGAAGCGCATTCCTTTCCCGTTGGAATAAGCCTACACTGAGCTCCATTGATAAATTCTCCTTGAAGAAGTGAAAAGGATCCCTTTTACCCCAGGCCCTCTTGCTCCACTCTCCATTGCTCACGAGTCAAATTAGGATTAAAGTTTATCATCACCATCATCAACTCATCATCTTACTTCAATATTTCACCAAGAGCAATGCTATAACGCGACCTGATGGGGATCAAGTGAGCGATACACTCGCTCATTAATTCATCACTATTATTTCCCTTCACTCGAGAAAGTGGAGGAGATTTTAAGACTTAGGATGGGGCTGGTTGAAGGTCAATATCTCACTTTGTAAATATCTTATCATTTGCCGTATTTATTTCTTTGCACACCAACAGAAAAATTTCAGAAGTTCACAGCAATTCCGAGAGAATTCCTCTTCATGGGGATAATTGTCCGTTTTGATAATTTTCCTGTGGTGTGCAATCAGGAAATTATATCGACGTTTTTCATGGTCAAGCATTCGTGTCTTCGGGCTATTAAAGTACTCTGGAATGCTTCACGCTCGTGAGAATTGTCGAAGGTTGATTACATTAGTAGTAAATGACATTGTACTGTATTAATATTAAATAGGAGTATTAATTGATATCTACAACATCAGAGAGATATGTCCTGACATTTATTTCTTCCCTTATTCGATTATTTATGTCAAATTATCTATAAATTATGGAAAAAAAAATCGCGAATTTTTTTTTTTTTCGAATTAAAAAAACCATTGAAAAACCACAAATTCAAAAACACTTGACAATTTTTTACGTTTTTGACCATTTTCATTAAATACATGAAATTATAAAATTATGAATGTTTTCACATATTAATATTTTCAAAGTCTAAACAATTTATTTCAATCATTTCTTCAGTAAGAAAAAATTGTAGCAAATCTCCCTGTCATACGAAATTCACTGAATTGTCATGGAATTCATACAGAAAGATATCACGTGCACAACAGAAATTTTTATTTCACATCATCCGTTTCAATTCTCTAAGTATTTAATGTATGATAATTTATGGAATAATAAAGTAGAGCAGTATTGAGCGACTTCAGTTTTATTCAATGAACACTTGACTGTTTTCTTTGGTACTTTTTTATCTCATGAAAATTCCTTTCCCCATAATTCGAAAGAATATCTCTCAAGTGTGTCCATTAGATTTATTCATTAATTTATGTAATACAATAATCAAGTCTTTTTTTGATCGATTTGAGTGATAACTCGAAAGAAACTTTGCAGATCAAATTTCATTGTCAATAAATTAAAAAAAAAATGTTCTAGTAATCTCTCTCGTGACATAAGATATTTACAGTAATTTAGAGATGATCAATAACTCTTGTCTTTGAGATTTAAAGGAAATAAATTGAGATTTTTCTCTATTCTTTATATGCATTCTGGTGTCTCCTTTTTTTGCGAGTTGACGTGGACTTCGTAAACTGCCAACTCTTTTTTCTCCTTCTTTAAATTTCTATCCTCGAATCCCAACCTGCAATTTAAACGCTGAATAAACACGTAATATCACTGGATTTATCTACACTCGAAAAACGAGACACAATGATTAAACATCAAAGAAAAAATAATGGATTTGAAATTCAAATTGAAGATGTAAATTAGTCGATGGATTTTTTTTTATTTCGTTGTATGCTCTCCAGAATATCATCTCGCAGTTTTGCAATTGAAATAAGAAAATCAAACGATGAAAAATATTTGATTTACGGAAGAGAGTGACACATGTAATGAAAGAAAAAATCGAAAACATGTACAACGCCATTTTCTTATTTCAATTATTCCAGAAAATGTGTGTTTGATCGTGTGATTGATAAATTAAGCATTAAACACAATAAATGAAGAGAAAAATGTAGTATTTATTTCGAAAAATAGAATTCTCTCGAGCAAAGAAAAAAATGAATATTACAAAAAAAATTATCGGATGCATTATCGGATGGTCAAGCTCTTAACTATTGCATAAAGCTCGTCAGACCTAAGGAGAGGTAAGGGAAAAATGATGCATACAATTTGTATGATTTTTTAACTGAATTAAATTAATAAATGATGGGTAAGTGTTGTGGTTCCAAAAAACAACGACGTAAATACAAAACAAATAAAAAATAACAAGTGCAATATTCGCAGGTAAACAATTACATTATTACATTTTGTGGACCCAGCGACACTCCGGAGATGCAAAAAAAACGGATTTGGGAATTTATGTACAATTGATCAATAAACTAAACTTTCTTTTGCATCTCTCAATTTAACAATCAACCTGATGACAATCCTACCTGTGCAAAATGATCCTCTCAACGATTTTTTCTGTGGTTATGTCATTACCACTGTCAAGAATTTTGAATTTATTCTGTCGTTTGGGCTCTGCATAGGGATCAGCACCATCTTCACAGGTGGGTATCGGGGTTTGTCCATGGCATACGATTGAGACGTTAAAATGCTCCATAAGTTCCTTGGTTACTTCGTATGGAGCTCCAATGACAACTTCATTGACATACTGCACAGAAGAAAAACAATGAAAAAATTAACAAAAACATGTTTGAATAATTCATATCAAGGATCATCGATTGAAGACTTCATGAATCATTAATAGCTGAAACAATCAATTGAATGAAAGAACGTAATAAAAACGGCACTGAAAAGAAAAAAACATGTTGTCAAACAAGTCTTGTTTGAAAATTTTCAAGAATAAAGGATTTTGAACTGAAACTTTGCGGATTGTAATTCTGAAATGAACATTTATAGTCGCAAAATTAAATTCGGTTGTTCCAAGTTATTGTTATTTTCTGTGCAAGCGAAAACTGTCATTTATAACAGTACACTGTTTGCAATTTTTCGCAGAAATTTCCGGTACACTTTTTGGAAATTGTCATCAAGTGATGTTTCACTGAAATTTAAAGGAATCTCGTCATTGAAAAGACACAATTTGATAGAAAAAACTAATGGAAACTGTAAATTTCAGTTCAATTATTCCATAAAAATTGATAGAAATCAGAAAAATGGAAAAAGGTGGAATTCTATTGACTTTTTCTATAAAAATTCTGTTCGAAATTTTCTGCAAAAAAAAGGATCGGCCAAATCTCATAGAATTTTCAATGGAAGTTTCCTATAGAAAATGTCCAACAGGAAAAGTTCAATAGAAAAAGATGAAATTGTACTGATTTTTTCTATGAAATTTCTATTTGAAATTTTCTAGAACAAAAGGACCGGCAAAAATTCGTAGAATTTTCAATGGGAGTTTAGTATAGAAAATGTCCGAGAGGAAAAGTTCCATAGAAAAAGATGAAATTGTACTAACTTCTTCTATAAAATTTCTATTCGAAATTTTCTGTTCAAAAGAAAATAATTGGCCAAAAACTCATAGAATTTTCAATGGAAATTGAATAGAAATCCAATATCAAAATACAATGCTTCCATTCAGAAGCAAAAATAACTAATAATACTTGAACGCTCACAAGACCTCAACTGAGTTAAGCAAGTCTTGTGTCAAAACATGTTTTTTTTCTATCAATATGGAAAACGACCAATATCGAAAACGACCTCACCTTGCATGCAAGCACACTCAGCACTCTCTCATGTAGATTCATAATAGGATAATTTCCGTATTTGTATCTATTGACAGCGGGGTCGGTGTGTAGGCCAACGATTAAGTAATCTCCCTCTTTCTTAGCAACTTCCAGAAAGTCAAGATGGCCCACATGGAACAGATCGAAAGCCCCAGCGACGTAGATAATTCTATCGCCAGGTTGAGGGCTCTTCCCATCGCTGAATTGAATAATCTTTTGGGTCGTCGGAAGAAACTGCGAGCAGCCGGTCCACGGACTCCTGGCTGTTTTGTCCTGCCCCATGCTTTTGCTCGGCTCTCTGTCCACACTGTATTCACTTTCACCCCGCCTGAAGTGCTGACGGGTCATCAGGAGCATACGACCTACTAGGTCTGTCGTTGAGACTCCTGCGGTTCTCTGAACTTCCCTGGAAATTTATACAATGTATTTTGTTGTTTTTGCGGACCATAGGGGGGATTATCCAGTGTTCGAACGAATAAGATTTATTCTAGACCAGTGATTGAACAGATGAGAGCGTTTCATGAAGCTTCATACAATTGAAGTACATTATATTGTTTTTTTAAATCATCTTTCGAACGTTATCTCGATTGTTTTTCCATGTTTATAATGTAAAATATATCACAATTTCCATTGGATTTTATATCACGCAGGAGTCCCTAAAAATTATGATTTTACAACCAAAAGAAGTAGAAAAAAAAATGAACATTTTCAGAGCATTTTTTCAGAGCTTTTTTGATAAAGATTAAGAAATAAGTCCGATAGAGAGGAAATAGTGAATGGATAATTTATCATGGTAACTAACGATCTGACAGCCATTGACTACTGTGACAAATGACGATCTAACAGCCATTAGATAAATTAAATTATTAATTTGCCATTTCTTCCCTATTGGATTTATTTCCTAATATTATTCAACAACGCTCTTTGAAAATGTTCAGCTTTTTGCTTCCGAATGGAAGCATTGCAATCGTTCTATTTTTCGATTTTCTAATTTTGCTTGGAAACGATGCAGAATGGTCTAAAACGTAAAAATACGAAGTTTGACCACCCCGTGTGCATCTGATGGTCAATTTTTATAAAATTGGAGAATTAAAGGACTAAAATGATTCCGAAAAATCTGAAATATTGTCAGATTATAGGTATTAATGATGACTAACTCTATGCTCAATTTCAGCCCAATCGATCCAGCTGTTTTCGAGAAATCGCCATTTGTTTCTAAATCGTTTTTCGCAAATATCTCGAAAACTACTCAACCGATTTCAATTTTTTTTTTCAAAATATTCGTCTTGATGTCCACTATCTCAAACAATCAAAATGTATGTGCCCGTTCATGCAAAGTTTCCGAGATATTTTTATATCTCGGCTTTTCCCTCAAAATGCTTATTTGCACTCTAATTTTCGAAAAAATCGATATATTCACTTGAAATTTCGCATGAAGTTTCCTCTCTGCATTGAAATATTTGGTACTGAAAATTGGCTAAATCAGATAATTAGTTTGGGAGGTATTCAAGTTTGTATCTGAATATATTTTCTTGTATATCTCATCAACTACTCAACCGATTTCAATTTTTTTTTCTTCAAAATACTCGTCTTGTTTGTAATGTCCTTCCTTTTCTTTTATTATTCCTATCCTTTTCTAAATCTTTTTTCGCCATTTATTCATCTCTTTTTGCTTCCGAATGAAAGCCTTGTATTTGAGCGATTTTTCGATTTTCTAATTTTGATGGCAAATGGTCTAGAATGTTATGAAACGTGAAGAAATGATGTTTTTAGGGTCATGTCTGTATGTATGTGTGTGATAACTTGGGTTTTTGGTGAATCTGCTGTAGTTCACCTGTATCGACCAGCCTCCTTCACAAGGTGATATGTATCGACCCCATCAGCAGTCACCGTAATGTCATCCCCATGCACGCAAAAATCACAGTTGTACTTGTCCAGTGTCTCCAAGGTCGTGACGTAAGGGGCGCCTTCCACTACCTCATCCACCCATTTTATTCCCCTCACCATTTTGTACCTGTTTGAATAAACAACAATCATTCGATATTTTCATTCGTTTTTATTCATGAATGTAAGGGAACTTCGTCGCTGACTTTATGGAATATTTCCCTGTTTCAAGTTGGTGCACGTGCGACCGATAATTAGAGAAAGGCGACTGTCACGAGTGTTTGCTGCCCTATTTCTACTTCGGTTTGTTTTAAGTCATTCTCATTTTTCAATGTTTACATTCAGAAAGCATTTTCTTCAGGTTTTTTATTCTCAACTAAAAACACGCACAAATTTTTCACTTTTCAAATAATCAATCGTGTTATCTGCTTCATGTTGATAAGAATTTTAGGCCCGGTTTCACGGGCTCCAGTTAGGGAAAATGTAAATTTGGAAGTTCGACGGATTATTCTACCGGGGGGAGTATCTAAAATTTATCACAGGAAGGAAACGAGAAATTGATTAACACCAGGATTAAATCAGTGTTAACTCAAATGAGGGTAGGGCATACATAACAAATTATCCTTCAGGCTAAATATTCAAATTGATGTCCCCTAGCAAATGATTCACCACGAGAATCAATTTTACCCTAGGGCTTACTTATTTGATACGATCAGGCCTTAATTCACCAACCCAAGTTGATTATCCAGATATCAACTTGATAATACGCAGCAAACGTAGGCCTTACTATGAAGTTATGCGGGATTCAATATTTTAAAATAGGGGGCTTCGCCCTTCCAATATTCTTGGGTTCGTTAAGATGTTCGTATTGTATAGAAAAAAAATTGATAGAATGATTGATCTCCTTCCTTAACATATGAGAGCTTTTATCCAAAAATTAAATTTCGTGATGTTTATTGTAAATTCACCTTGGTTTCGATTGTTCTATCACTATTGGTCAAGTGAATGAAACTATTCATGTACTATTTCAAAGGGTGTTTGTTGTTATAGAACGTGGAAATCAGGGGAATTGGAATTTAAAAAATTACGACATATATTGATCCCAAGCAATTTGACTAGCGCGCGCAGAGTGCGCGTCCCGCCTAGTCACTCAAAAAATTGTCATCAAAATGGAATTAGTCAGGGCTCAAAAAATAGATAACAATACCCTCTTGATTCTAACAGAATATGATGGGGGATGAACAATTCGCTGTCGGGTTACAGTACATTGTTTCTGCAATTTGAAAGAGAAAATTGTTTTTTTCATGATAAATGAGGGTTTGAAAAGTATATTTCAATGCCTTCTTAATCAAGTTGAAAAATAATGAGAACAGCATCATTGCTTATCAAGTTACACAATACCGTCATGAGCTTTTTATATAAAAATCTCTATCTCTATTAAACTTAGGTACCAGTCTATTATGTTGAATCCTTATTCATATTGATTCATGGTCCCGATTAACTTCTGACACAACCTGGGTTGAACTCTGGCAAAATCCTGAATAAACCCTTATTGAACCCCGGCTATACACTGACTAAACCTTGATTAAACCTTGATTGAACCAGGAATGGCCATCAATCTTCCAATTCTTCAATATTAAAAAAATTTCCGATTTACGTTGATCAAGGTTTAAATATACTAATCGAAAGTAAAAAATACTAAAATAATGGATAATCTAAATTTCCAAGTGATAGTGAATTAAATATGTAATAATTAAATACGGATCTGCAAATTTTCCATTAACTAAATAATACTAAATCTCTTATACGGGATTTCCAATTATCCAAATAATCATCAATCTTCCTAGCTAAATTACTGATTAATAAATAATTCGGAATTTGAATACTTAAAGTGATCATTATTTCAATAATTAAAATTTAAGAGTGATATTAACTAGTTGACTACTTAATAATTTAACGGCAATTATAATTTATGGATATGGCTATCCCTAGATTAACCCTGGACTAAAAACGAATTCGAGTCTTGAGAGGATCTGAATGTAGAATTATTTAGCAGAACAAAATAATACCCATAATTTTTGTGACATTTCAATTGATGATAGTACTATGACATGAAAAAAAGAAGAAGATAATAGTGAATTAATTAAGAGAAGAGAATCCATTTAAGAGCAAACTGGTAATTTATCATCAACAATAACAATATTCATTTATTTAAAAAATGCAACTGTCCTCTTGTTCTAACTTGTATCATAAATTTATCTTTGCTCACTACACTCAACGACTTACGTGGAGTTCAAAAATACTACTTTAATGGACCTGATATTGAGTTCAGGAGGGGGATAAGTGACATTTCACACGATTAACATTTCATTTATAATAAATATTTTCCATTCAAGTCCATTGATATATAAATCGGGCAATTAAAACGCCCTGCCATCAATATATTCCAGCCATAAATAATTTAGTGACGACGCCCATCCCCTCCGCTAATGACCAGTAAAAATCGTTTACAACTGGTGTTTTAAATGTACCAGCATATATTTCACGATATTGATTAACGTGGAGTCCCATTGTGGAGGTTCACAGGTCTATAGTTAATAAGATAGACACGGAAATGAGGGTCAAGGATCCAGGATTTCCTCACTCGATTGTGCTATCGTAACTGGGTATTTTCCACACTCATTCACACATTGTGTCCCCTCAAGTCCACGATACGACAATTAGTGTAGTCCATTGACATTATTTACCTCTCCTCCTGGGTGAAAACGGGGGGTCCTTTGTGCTTGGATATTTCCTCGTCTGTGTGGACACCGACTACCAAATAATTACCCAAGGCCTTGGCTTGTCGTAGGGAGTTTGCATGGCCGAAATGCACCATATCGTAACTATAACAAAAATTAAATCCTCATGCTGTAAAATTTGTACAAAAAATGAAATTCAGTCCTTTTTCGCATGCATGGGGATATCAACGAATTCAGTGAACTTGCATTATCACAACACATTAATTTCTTTATTCATGAATTAACGCTCATTCTCCTTATTCTGAAATATTGCTGACTTGAGTCAGCAATATCTTATGCATTTTTCCTTTTTTTGTCTCCGACGATTTATAATGAATGGATGATCTAAGGTATTCTACTATTCTTTACACATTTAGTGCAATAGTTTCACCTTGATTTCCACTTTTTCGTATTTCTCGCTCCATAAAAAAGGTTATTACGAAAATGTCGTTATCTCCTTTAGATTCGGAGATATTCCTGGAAAACTCAACTAAGGCTAAATGGACTTTTAAAATTCGCAGGCTATTGGAATGAGATGTGTCATACATTGAAGATCGATTATATACGTCTAAAAATGAAAAAAAAAATTGTTTATTATTCGTTTACTCCGCAGAGGCTTAAAATGATAAAAATAGCCCAGGCCCTCCAATTTTTGAGGTACAGAGATTTCTTTTTTTTCCAAATTCTTGAAAAAATGTGTGCAATAACAATAACGAGTGAGTTTTTTGAAATTCAACTCCTACACACCTCATTTCGTTATTTTTTTAAATAAAAAATTGCACCATTCATGTAAAATAGCCCGAAAAATGTTTCTGAAAGAATCAAGAATATATTTTAAATATTTTAAGGATAATTTTTCTGCCTATTTTACGTGACTATCGCAAATTTTTAGGGGAGGTTGGGGTAAAATGGACACTTTTGATTTTTTTAAAAATATTAGTGACGGGTTGAAATGTTGATGAAGTTTAATCTTTCTTTTTCAAAACAAAGAACAATTGTTTCCCTTTGTGATGATCCTAAGCTGAGCTCTATTGATACATTTGTTTCTGAGTTATGAATAATTTTAAAAAAATCTAGTGTCCACTTTACCCTACCCTCCCCTATATTAAACAAAAGGAAATTAGATGTGCGTAATTGTTATTGTGCACATTTTGTCAAAAATTTTGAAAAAAACCTCTGTACCTCAAAAATTGGAGGCCCTGGACTATTTTTAACATTCTAAATAATTTTTAATTTTAATTTTTTTGCACAAATTATTCGTTTTTAGACATATATAATCGACCTTCAATGCGTGAGAAACCTCACTCCAATAGCCCACAACTTTCAAAACTCATAGTAGTCTCACCTTAAACCCTTTTACCGCTTTGCTACTGAATTTACTTTATACTTTATGGAGTTTAGTTTTTTTCTTTATTTATTATTATTTCCTCTGCACCTGACCGAATGTGGCCCAACACCACCATCATCGTTACTCATTTTCATTTATTCCGATGCTCTTTCGACTGATTAAGTGACACGTCAAGAGTGACTCATCATTTTCACGTGGAGAAGTCCCCCTTCTTTTATGAATTTTCATTATTGCCCTGGTCTCAAGATTGGGTATCCATATTTGCGGTATGTCAAACCCACGTGAATGTTTTTATCTGTCAATAAATTGCGGAAAAATACGAGAAAATGGGATTGAAACGTACCAGCCATCGCACCACACACGAACTTCCTTTCGTTCCTCAGTCATAATTGGAGATTTAACGTTAATTATTGATTAAAAATTGCGTCGATGAGTTTTATTCGGAATCCGGGCACTTCAGGAGGGTTAGGAAACGGGACTCCTCAACGCTCGGGCTTCCACGACTCACTGGTGGTCATACTGCGCACGTCAGACATGTTAAAGCTTCAGCTGTCTTTTTTTTTAATGTCGGAACCCCCACCTGTTCTACACCCATGATGTCACGCAAATATGTAGGATCGTGAGTACGTGAATTTACATCGGTGGCGGGCGAGGGCTTGGGGGCAACTATTAGTAGGAGTCTATCGATGAAAATAATTCATTGCATTATTCTTCTGTGAACAATTGCGTCTGCAAAAAAGGCGTGTCTCGCGTATGGATCTCCGTCTGTACCTACCGACTTGATTATCGTTCGATATATTGCTGGGAAATTGCCGGCGATGAGTCATTACTACTGTTTATGAATGAATGATTTTGTGGAATTTTTTTAGATTCAATCGAAATTTAATGCTTATCGAATTCAAGGGGAAACCGCGGCAGAGTTCCGAAATTGCAGGGGCCCTTATTTGACACGTGCTGGTGAGTTTGCTATAGGGGAGGGTAGGGTAAAATGGACACTTTTGACTTTTTTAAAAATATTCATAACTCAGAAGCAGATTTATCAATTGAGCTTAGTCTAAGCTCATCACAAAGAGGAACCGTGGTTTTTCAATTGAAAAATAAAATTATTCCGTTTCATGAACAATTCAAGACGTCATGAATATTCCAAAAAAAGTCAAGTGTCCGTTTTACCCTACCCTCCCTACTTCACACGGAGAGAAATATTCAATAAAAATTACGTATCTTTTCCGTAATTCCAGAGTGCAATGTGGAAAATTTTACGGAACTGTCACGTAATTGTTACCTAAAATCACGGAATTTTTCCAGAGCGTTCAGTAATTTTTACCTAAATCTCCTGTGAAAAATTACGATACCGTCACTTAAATTTTCTGAGTCGATTCCGTGCTCGGTGAGCGAACTGTGAGTTCCGTAATTTTTACTGAATATTTCTCTCCGTGCAGTTTTAATGTCGAAAATTAAAAAAAAAATAGGGGAGAGTGGGCCAAAATGAAATATTAGAGCAAAATGAAACAGTCGAAAAACGACTGTTTGAGGCAATTCAAGCAAAACTATTTTTTTTTAATTAATTTTTGTTTATCAACTTTTTTTAATTCTTGGGAATACTGATGAGAATAATAAGTTTTCATTCAGTTTTTTTTTGCTTCCGAATGGAAGCACTGTAATCGTTCAAATTTAAGTTTTGGATTTTCCGTGTTATATCGATCCATTATGATGCAAAAAGTTCGAAAATGCAATTTTTGGACCGTGTCCGTACGTATGTTAAACAAATTTTTTTTCTATTGTTTGTCAATGAATGGATAGAATTGAATCTTTTTTTCCCCCAAATGCAGGTGTTTGTTGAGCCCGACATTTTTCAAAAAAAAATTTTTTTCGCGACAACTAAAAAAAAATTTTGAAATCATTGAATGATAGCTTAAAAAATTCGTTTGGGTGTCCTTTGACCGATTTCGAAGATGAAAGCGATACACTGAGAGAAAAATCCACATAATGTCACAAAAATCTGTGCTTGAGCGAAAAACATCGCCTACATATTTGATCAATCCTGAATAATAAAAAAATATATATTTAACCAATTTACCTCTTCGGGTTAAGGACCAGATAATCGAAAAATTTTATTGATGGAGGTTCATTTTGACAAAAGTTTAATTAACCAAAAGTTCACTTTTCCAAATTGAATTTAACCAGGTTTTTTTAACGAAGTTTTTTAGACGTGCTTCGGAATAATGATGATGATAACATTCGACTACTCTGGGAGATTTCGAATTTTTCGAAAGCTGGAAGAGGCATTAGAAATTAATATGTTGCTGGAAAAATAAAAATCCATAAGAAACCGAAACGTTTTATTAGATACGGTCATGCGGAAAAGTTTTTTTTTTAAATTTACATTCGACTAAGTAGGAAATCTGACAAAATCGGTTGAAATGAAATCTTATTCAATTTAATAAAATGAAACAAACAATGAACTATACATGATAGAAGGAAATGATGCGGAAAAAGCCATTCGGAAGCATATTGCTAATTTATTAGTGAAAATAACTATAAGAGCAATTTCCCACTTGTGGCAAACTATAGATCGGATGGACGCAAAAAATGGACAGTTTTTACGTTTTTTTATTATTTGATCACTCACGAAGTTTCATCATCGTGCAAACATTTTTCTGCCTGCTTTTTTCAAATTTGACAAATCTCTGAAAAGTTCCGAAAGGAAACATGAAGACGGTGTATTTTTTCGCGTCAATCCTCTAAAAAGTTTTACAGAACAGCAAAAAAAACGTAATAAAAAGCCAGTGATGCGGTAAAATCTACTCAAACCATTTTGCCTCTCTTCTATTGAATATCTCTCCTAGGAAGAATCTATCAAAAACATTGAACTAGATTTTGAATTCAATCCAGACAAAACAATTCTCTAATCAATGGAAGTGTTGTCCCTGAGAGATGAGTGTTTCATCGTCAGACACTCTGCCCATGTCGTACGATTTTACTGATAAAAATCGCTCCAATGAGGCATCGAGTGGGTCTCCTCTCCCTCATCAAATTTCTCACTCGTTTCAACGTATTTATACTCAACTCGTGCTGTTATCTCCGTGATTAAGGCCCGGCCTGCGTGGCTAAATATGGATCTTCCAGGAGAACCTTAAAGGAACCGTAAAGGATTCGTAGATTGTTAATAATTGTTGATTAAAACGAGCAAAATATTCTCTCCAGTTTTATTCCAAAGATTAATGAACCTTTGGACAAATTTCCATCATTTTTCATTGGTAAATGTCAATGCAATAAACTTTTAATATTGAAAAATGCAAAACATTGATTTTTCTTTCAAGCCAAAATTTAATAACAGTAATTGCTCTATTTTGATTTCTCGCATCTCCTCATTATTATGTATCCTTGGTTCAGACTTGATTGGATTAGACCTCACGAACATTTATAAAAAAATGTTCCCCATTGTGAAATGTTTGATTCTGTGTTTAGAAAATTATCAAATCCTAGTCATTGTTGGTTTTCTACGTACGGTAGAAAAAATCGATTCAATAATCTTGGATTAATAGAGCCAGGATTCATCAACGCGTAGGAGAAATGACGGACTAATCCATTGAATGAAATCAGAGTATATTAGAATTTTCATTTATTTTATTAAGTAGTTTTCAAGATTAATTCTACATTGTCTAAGATTGTTTTAATCAATTTTCCCTAGTTGGTATCTCATTTTCTCTCATTTTCACAGTAGTTCTAAACTTTTTATACCCAACGCAAATGTTTACGATTCTTTATGAATATACGAGTATCTGTATCCGCGGTAGTTAATGAAAATGCGTACATTTGTATGACATATTAATTTTAAATTTCCGATTCAGTCACTCGTCTGCACTCAAGATGTTGTATTGATGGTGCATCTTGAATCATTTTGCTGTCTCACGATCGAGACAACAAATATACATTTAAAAATATTCTCTCTCCAGTATTTTAGTTCTATGCACTGTTGTGCTTCGTCACAGTTTTCTCTTTTTTTTCTGCGCTCCTCCCATCCATGCTCTAGGTGTCAGGGTTGTTATGCTTGGTGGATTATTATTCAGTTAGTCTGGAGCATTCACATCCTGGTGGGTCAATAACCATTTCGATTGTATGAGCCGGTATTGCCGTAGGAATTTCCATTTTGATTGTAACTGTTGTTGGGATTGTTGCCACCGAAATTGTTCTGGGAGAAGGGTTTACTGTAGTTGTTGCCACCCATGCCACCACCGGCGCCTGCAATTTAAAATTCATTGTTTAGGTATTTGATGTATAATTTGGTGACGCGGTGGTAAAAGTTTCGCTTTTTGGGGGAAAAGGCCAAGAATGCTTTTTGCAGCTAGATAATTTTTTAGAGAAAATGTCTTGAGATTGTTTCGCGCGGTTTGTCCTCATAGGCCGGCGGCCTCCCATCTACTCGAATTCGCTGTTCAATCCGCGACAATTTCTCCACTGATAATCAAAAAATTGTCATTTACTATTTAATGATAATCTTGAGCTTTCACCGATAAGTTGTTCAATTACAATCCTCTTTTATACAGATTTTTCTGGAATTTTTAGGACTTATCTTAGTTTGATAGTGCAAACGGTTGCCAAGATCGGTAACAGGGATGCGAAAAAATGACATGACACAGAAATTTACATAAAAGTTCAATAAAAAGACAGTAGAAGAATAGTCAGTACTTGTCAATGTTCTAACGATTTTTTAAAATTAATTCTTTTTTCCAATTTCCTGTCAATTATCTATAAATATTTTTCGTGCGTGTGCTGTTACAATATTCTCAATATCCTCACTGAATGACTCACCATTATTGCTTCCCCACTTGCCTCTATCATTCCCACCGGGACGATCATATCGTCCCCTGTCACCAGAGTCACGCCCCCCTCGAGACCCCCCACCTCGTCCTCCGCCACCCCCACGTCCAGTGTTGTTTCTGGGACCACTTCCATTATTTCTTCCTCCAAAACGACCCCCTGAGGACAGAAAGCCATTACAAGGCATTCAATGATTACACTTGTAGAAAGAGTGGAGTAAAATAAAACAGTAAAGTAAAATGAAACAGCCGAAAAACGACCATTGGACACAATTCAAGCAAAGAAATTTTATTTTTCATCAACTTTTGTTCATTAACTTTTTCTATTATTGGGAGCACTGATGAGAATAGTAATTTTCTATTCGGTAGAAAAGAAATTAAAAAATAGTTGATAAACCGTTTTTTTGCTTGAACTGCATCAAACAGTCGTTTTTCGACTGTTTCATTTTGCCCCACTCTCCCCTAACAAAAATGAGTTGAACGTACTTTTGAAGACACCTGGATTCCTCGACAGCTCATACAGCTTCGGATTGACCACCTGTTTGGCCTCCTCCAGCACTTGAATCAAATCATTGGCTTTATGTGCATTACCAGGCGTGAAAAATGCATAAGCCGTTCCAGTACGCTGTGAACGTCCCGTACGTCCAATTCGATGTACGTAGTCTTCCGAGTTGGATGGATAGTCCAGATTAATCACAAACTTGACATCCTCCACATCTAAGTCAAGATCATTAGTCACAAACAATTGAAAAAATGATTAAAAATCATTTTAATAAACAATTCTTCCGCTTTGTGGTGACAATCAACTTATAAAGCAAATTTATTCAAGCATTAAATTCTCAAGAAAACGGTTTCCTAATCATGCAGATGGACCAGATATGCATTAAAAAAAAAATAATATTCAAGTGATAATGAGTCGTACGTAAGATTATCAAAATTCGTGACAATATTTATCCATTTGCATGATTATGTAGTCAATCGAACCACAAAGGCAATAATCTAATTACCTGTTCAATCTCAAATGCTGGAATGTAAATAATTGTTTTTGTTCGAAATGTAGAGGAATCAGTGCTCAGATGGTTGTATTTTCATTGCAGTCTCGCACAGAGAGATTGTTTAAATAATCTCCTGAGTATTTTGTTTATAGCGAGCTCTTGAGAGTTTTCTAGATTGAAATATTTCATGAACGTCACCACTCTTCTCTCCCGCACCAAAGTATGGATCACAATATTTTCTTAAAATCATTAACCAGCTGGAACTTACACATTTTAATCCATTCTGGTTGCACAGCTACCAATGAATCCCGTGGTATGAGGGCAGAGGGTAGGTCCCACATCTCCCCACGTTGCACTTCAAACCATTTTTCTCTAATGACTTACAAATATATATCTTTTTAATGACAATGCCATGAACTGACGACTTCTTGAAGACGAACCATTGCAATTCAATTCGTAACGTCTGCAATTATTTAGTCTCTCAATGGTCGCCAACAATTTCATGAGCATTGCGCATTCGGTTTCGTCGATCTAAATAAAAAAAAAAAGGAAATAAAAAAAATTGATCTCCGTCGATCGAGTGGAACTCCTCTCTGGCTCCTCCACGAACCTCCTGATGTTTATTTTTTTTCCCTAACATTACAACTTCCATACTTTGGACCGTCGCAGGTACATGAGAGTGTGGTGTGTTTTTCGTGGTCTTGTGGCACGGGTTCGACTGAGGCACAGCGTTTTTTTATATTTGAGCGACAGCTTTATTAAGGACAACTTGCAGTTGCGTCCCCATTATTTGGATATTTTTGATTCATTAAGAATTTTTTTTTTTCAATTCCAAAGCAAGCTCTCCAGAGTTGTTATCATTGATAAAACTCCGTCGCATGTGCCTCTGAAAAAACATAGAACAGCAAGTTACTACCAGACTGACAAGACTTGTCTCATTAATTTTCTCTGTTTGGGATTTTTTTTTTTTTTGAAGAGAAACATCCTATGTGGTCTTACCTTTGCACCTGAAATTGATTAAAGATTTTTCCAGGATATACATTAGCTATTGAACTCATGCAATTGTCTCTTTAGGGACTTTAGTAGCTGGAAAAATCTTTAAATATCCTGAGCTAAAGAGTTAATTCATTGATTATGACACGGGTGGAATGCAAAATTAAAGGGGAGTCTTAGAGCTAAGTTAAGTTATTAGTTTCTCTCTCAAGATTGTCTTGATTCGATAATTGAACGTTTGGGAGCACCAGCGTCAATCAGTCTGGCACCATGCCGTCATCCGTTGCCACATTTTGGACACGATTATTCTGTCGATATTACGTTAATAACCATCGCAGCCTGACCCTTACATTGAATTTTTTTTTTCTGATGGGGATTCTTACCTAACCCACGTGCAGCTACGTCTGTTGCCACTAGAATGGCAGATCTGCTACTTCGAAATTCTGTAAGAGACAAAGAGGAATTCAAAGTTAATCGAAAGTCATCGGAAGTGGCGATTAATTTCGTAGTAAACGTGTTGAGGATAAGTTTTCGACGAATGCCTTGATAAATAAGGCATTAGATATGACAAATTGAGTGGCTGGATAAGATTATTTATTGAGTAAATCTCCAACTGCCTAAAACATACTGATTTTATATCATTCATCATTGAGAAAAACGAATCCGCATTTAATATTTCCCATTTAATTCTGATATCCAACAATATAATAATATTAGGTAAACCAAAATAGAAATACTCAATCTTGAGTAAAGTGTTTCGGTTCTGAGGTATTATTAAAAATTAATAAGTCATAGTCAATTGAAGAACATTATATCGTCACAATGCAGATATTTAATCACCTAAACCTTTTCAACTTTCAATCCTACATCAAAATGAAAAAGTACGTGTCTAATATCCTTCAGTTAAAGTATTATGAATAAACTCCAATTTAAGCCCTTAAGTGTAACGGGGAAAATAATCTCAAAAAGCCAAGAAAAATGATTCATTATTAATAATTTTTCCCACGAATTCTAAGTTTGATGAGTGTAACAAATTGATCCATCAAATTATTTCTTTAATTTTTTTTTAATTAATAGTCTCGTTTGACTAGGGTGTTTCGACATAACACGCCATTTTCGGCATGTAGAAACATAAATTATTTATTACAAAAGCCTGACACTGACGATAATTTTCATATTGGGCATAAAAATTTTATTCATTTTCTCTGATTTTTTGAGATTTTTTCCAGATTGTAATCTTCTTCCTAACGTCCAAAATTTCATTTCCTCATAAGACTCTGTGTAATACACATGAACAGATTCAATAGAAACTTAGTGAAGTCGCTAAAAAATTCTATTGAGATTCTATTAAAATTCTCGGGAATTCTCGTTATAATTCTATTGGTTTTTTGCGCTGATTCTACATCATATTTGATAGGAAAAAGTCAATAGTTTTCAATTTTTCCGTATGAAAGATATTCTCTTGGAATTTTTTCACGCAGATCCTGTAACGCAAAACAAAACAAAATATAGCAACAAAAATCTCAAGAGAAAAATTCAAACAGAAAAATCGAAATCTTTTTCCTATCAAATCTAATAGAATCTGCGCAAAGAATAAATCGAATTTTAACGAGAATTCTCTGAAATTTTAATAGAATCCCCATAGAATGTCTAGAGAATTTCAATAGAATTTTCTAACGAATTCGCTCGCAAAAACAATTTCACTTAAATTTTTTCATACGTCATAAACATGACGTACTTCATAATAATTACAGTATAATTTATGTACTTCTAGATTAATTATTATCAATAATACTGAACACAAACTGAGCCAAAATGTTTCTATTCATCTTAACTTTCGTTCAGAATTTATTTCCGATTTTAATCTTCAAAATTCAAGTCATGATTATACTACTTTAATCATCATATCAAAGAATATCATGTAAGAATGTCATGCAAAGCCCCATCCGGAGATATTCAGAAAAAACTAAAATCCGAATGACTTGACAATTGACTTATTTCGTTTTACCCCTCAACTCCTAGAATCTCTCCAAAGAATCTCTCAAACTTACGATTAAGGACATAGTCTCTCTCCTGCTGGCTCTTATCCCCATGAATACCAATAGCCTGCCAGCCATAACGATTGATAGCCCTCGTGATATCATCGACCTTCCTCTTGGTCTCCACAAAGATAATGGTCTTGTTCTCAGGCTCATTGGAGATCTCCTCCAAGAGTTTCATCAACTTCCCCTCCTTCTCATACTCCTCACAGACATCCACAATCTGCAGGATATTGTGATTGGCAGCCAGCTGCAGTGATCCCACATTGATCTGAATGTAGTTGGTCAAGAACTCTTCAGCCAGATTCCTGACTTCCTTCGGCCAGGTTGCTGACCACATGAGGGTCTGCCTGTCAGGTCTGATCTGCTCGACGATCTTGCGTATCTGCGGCTCGAAACCCATGTCCAGCATTCTGTCAGCCTCATCGAGGACGAGGTAAGTGCACCTTCGCAGATTCGTGGTGCTTCTCTCGAGGAAATCGATGAGACGCCCAGGAGTTGCGATGCAGATCTCAACGCCTCGTTCGAGGTCCCTGGCCTGGGGCCCCTTGGGAGCTCCACCGAAGATGCAAGTGTTCCTCACCTGCAGACGTCGGCGTAATCATAATATTCAAATACAATTGTTTACCACATATAAAATTAGCTAATCATATTGAATAAATTTACATTATTACATTATCGATCAGTAATCGCTTTCAGAGGATTCACGATGACTTAATTGAAAAACATTTTAAGAAATTTATAATCATTTATCATTTATATAATGATCAGTCGAGAACTTTGAGATATATCCATAGACAACACTTCTTTCTTAAGATTGTCCCCATAGTTTCTAAGAGACTAAAATAATTATTACTATCGATCTCTGCTCACCTGGGAAGAGACACCAAAGTCAGCAGCAACTTGTTGGATCTGTTGGGCCAGCTCTCTAGTTGGTGCCAGGACCAGAGCAATTGGTCCATCTCCTCTGCTGAGTCTGGGCTGATTATTTATGTGGACAATTGCTGGAAGGATGTAGGCAAGAGTCTTCCCCGAGCCCGTCTGCGCAATGCCCACCATATCTCGACCGGAGAGAGCTATTGGCCACCCTTGAGCTTGGATAGCTGTGGGTTCACCGAAGCCCTGTCGCCTGATCTCAGTGAGAACGTAATCTGGGAAGCCTCCCTCCTCGAAATAAATATTTGGGTTTGGTATACCGGTCCCCTTCACTGTGATCTCTTTCGCTGAACGATACGCCTCAACTGCATGGGGACTCCTGCCTACGACGTTGGGGTGGGGTCGGTAGAAGTCCTTGGAGAAGGGCTGGAGACTGTTCATGTCCCAGCGCGGCTTGCGGAGGCGCTCGCCTGGCTGACGATTCTTGAAGGAGTTACTGTTGAAGGAAGAGTTGTCGCGATTGTTTGAGAAACGGGAGTTCTGGTCACGATTGCCGTAACGAGGACCTGATGGCCCTGAACTGCGGTTGCCACCACCACGAGAACGGTCGTTACGGTCTCTGTCTCGGAATGCCCTGTGGATTGGACGTTTTGTTCAGGATAGATTTTAAGATGAAGAATTGTTTTTACTTCCGAATGGAAGCCTTGTTGGACGATTTTTTGATTTTCTAATTTTGATTGCAAATTGTCTAGAATGTTATGAAACATAAAGAAATGACGTTTTTAGGGCCGTGTCTGTGTGTATGTGGCAACATGAGTTTTTTGTGATTAATCTTTAGAAAATTCAACGTAAATACGGTGTAAATAAATAGGATTGAGCTCAACTTTGGTGCCAGTAGTTTCTGAGATTTTTGAAATGCAGAAGTTTAGTTAATTTTGATGCTTATTGTTTTTGCTATTCCTTTCGCCAAATTTAGTACTTGGCATGTGATGTTATATATAAAAAAGAAAGTGCAATTAGTCATACAGGAAGACTTGAATGAGACTACCGTAATGTTTTGAATTATTATATGCATTGTAACGGTGTTGTATTTTTGTTTGCTAAGCAGGCTCCGATGGGTTTTTAACCTGGAGTCTATATAATAAAGATAGATAGATAGATAGATAGATAGATAGATAGATATAACAACTTCTTCAAATTTTGTTTTTCATCACACTGTCTGTCAAACGTAGTTAACGGACATTGTGCAGAAATAGCTATTTTGTCATTCCGGCCGTAAGGCAGCGTTTCACGGACGCGGAGCGTCCGTGAATCTCTGCTTACGGCCGTCATAACAAAAAATACTGTTCGTCATACGGCCAAAAACAACTTTTCTAGCTCATATGATTGCAAACTCATATTCGCCAGAAAAGTTTCTTTCGGCCTAGTGACGAAATATACTATTTTGTTATGACGGCCGTAAGCAGAGATTCACGGACGCGGAGCGTCCGTGAAGCGCTGCCTCACGGCCGGAATGACAAAAAATATTTAAATTAGCAGAAAAAAATTATTTGAAGTGATAATAACTAAACAAAGAATAATGAAATTAAGAAGTAGTTGAATGCAGCTGAAACCCTTAATTTCTCGAGGACTGGGCCATTTTTATTTATTTATTAAATGTCGAAGAATAGAAAAATAATTGATCATATGATTATACATGAGGAATATTAGTGGAAGATGAAATAATCAGTACAATTATCATGTTATTTATGGAATATTCAATCAATGCAAGTTGAAATCACCCAGAAACTAAACCCCGCCCAGAAATTGCCCTGTTTACCCTAGACTTCATACTCCAGAATGAGGAATGCAATGTTTGTTTTATAACTCAGAGTTAGGTTTTAAATTGAATTATACGACTTCAATCGGAAATTTTCCAACAATGTCATAAAGTTTTCGATAAACTTCCCCAAATCTTTCAGAGACAGCTAGGAAAATTTAAAACTAAATTTTGTGGGAGAAAAATTTGCAAAGATAGGTAAATCTCCATAAAAATTTCATCATCTCCCTTCAACTACCAGATATTCCGTAGAAAAGTCAAATTTATGAGAAATTGATACATCTCATTTCACAAGTTCACTAATGAATGCTTCTCTTGAGGTGAAATTGCATCGAGTATCCCTCCAACATCTCGGACATACTTTCTCCAGGAGAAAAAAAGGAATGAAATTATCGAGGCAAAAAATCGATGAAATGAAGTCATACCAAGATACAGTGCGCCAATTATGCGTGCACAGAATATGTTTTGATTACGAATGAGGTTAAGAAACTCTCGAAACGCCAGAGAATGTATGCAAAATCGATTCTGAGAATAATTCATAAAGGAGCATGATTGATGGCTATAATAGAACACCTTCGTAAGGAGTTTTGGAAAAAAATACTAACATCAGGGAGGATCACTATGGCGTTCAGGTCATTACAGGCCAGCCACATCAAAAGGGGCTCAAATCAATTCTAAATCTAAGAAATAACGCATTTTCTATACTCACATGACTCTAAAGTTACAATGAAACGGAGTTGTGAGCTAACAATCACTTGTTTATATCAAATATTCAATAATTCAGGTGCGATAGACGTAACTGAGGCGTCTCACAAAGAGTTCACAAGGGAATCTGTTGAGGAAGATGTAAATGGCGGTCGAACGACGAAAAATAGTCCCTCAAATAATTATTCTCACTCTTTCTCCACTTTTCACTTCACAAGAATTGACAGAAAAATTCCCAATCCAGAAAAATATTCGATTTTTTAAGAAAACAAAATTATTATTCCCTCTTTTTTGGTAATTTTCCCGTGGTTACAGCTGGTTACAGCTGCTTAACTGTGCGAATTCGCCAAGGTGTGCTATTGACTCCCTGTGAACACTAAAAAAAATGAGTGGGGATGGGCTGTGGCGGCACGAGACTCCAATTCAAAGCGGAAAGAACATTCTTCACTTTTTCAAGTATTCTTATTTATGAGTAATTCATTAAATATTTTGGCATACTATTGAGTATCAATATAATTAATATAGAAATTAATTTTTTTAATTTTTTAATTGTAATAATTGCAAATATTGAATTATTTCTATTTTGATAGGGGAGAGTGGGGCAAAATGAAACAGTCAAAATACGACTGTTTGATGCAATTCAAGTAATAAAAAATGTTTATCAACTTTTTTTTAATTATTGAGAGCACTGATTAGAATAATAATTTTTCATTCAGTAGAATGGGAAATTATTGGGAACTTTGAGGGGTGATTTTGTCAATGGATTAATTGAAAAGCAAATGAAACAGCAAAATCCAAAATCCAGAGGAAGGCCGAGGGGGAGACCCAGCGGGAGAACAAGGAAAATATGATACTGAATTTCAATGGAATGAAAAAAATTGTATAATCGGCCTGGTCTAATCAATTGAATTGTAAACAGTTGAATGATGAGACGAATAAAAAATTATTATTCTCATCAGTACTCCCAATGATAAAAAAAGTTAATAAAGAAAAGTCAATAAAAATTTTTTTTTGCTTGAGTTTCGTCAAATAGTCGTTTTTTGGCTGTTTCATTTTATCCCCCCACCCCTAAAGAAATTGATTTTTTAATTTAATTTCTGTATTCATTAATATAGTTAATATAGAAATGATTGCATAACTCTAAAGATATTCCCAGATGCACTGCTGAAAAAAATTTCAATAATTTCTAATAATTTTCACGGATTAATGATTCATAGATGAATTATTAACTAAAGTTCATAGTTTCAACTGTTTAATGAAAAATCTGATTTCAATTGTTTATTTGACTGGAAATATGCAATATTTGTCGATTTTCACATAAGACATTAAATAATGGTTTTAAAAAATTTTTACTTATAAAAATGAAAACGGCAATGAAAATTTTTTTTCAATAAAGGTTTTTTTAAACAAAAACTTGGTTAAAAAAATTAAAGATGTTCATTTTGCATCATTGCTAAAATTTATTTTTGAGCTGTTTGTTATTGTGAAGCTGTTGAGCGGCGTTATCGACACATTCAGAGATGAAATGAAGGTCGCTTGGTTCATATAGACGGCAATTCCCAATGAAATAATAATAAAACAATAATCTTTATTTTTTCAAGTGTTTTTATTCATGAGTAAATTAATCAAATCTACAGAAGACCTCAACTTTCCATATTTTGTCATACATTGAGTCTTTATATTTTGTTTAACAAACTGAATAGTCTATACTGAAATCACAGAAGTGTTTAATTCGTATTTGGAGAAAATAAAAATGACGATTTACGAATTAATTTAAACTCTTTCTAATTAAAGAATGATCTCGTAAAACAACTAATAGAATGATGACTAGCAAATCCTTCTGGTCTCTTGCTAAATGATAGTTCCACCCATCTATTCCTAACGTTTTTTTTAACGAAAATATACTGAAATCATCCTCGAGATCACATACGTAAAACTATAATAATGAAAAATAAAATAATACCAAATCAACAAATTATTGATTCAACTCGAATTGTGCATCGAATCTACAACGAACCCTCCCCACATACCGAATAAAGATACAACGTTCATTTTCGAAATGTAAGAAATACTTAGAAGTCTCAACACTCCACATTAATATTGTGAATTATTTCCATAAAAATTGGCTCCTCCGTTGTAACCCTGGATATTGTTGCTCTGCATGTAATTTCTCTGGGGATTGTAGCCATAGCCAGGATTGTGCCCACCCGCGGACTTGACTGGATAGTTTGATGGAGGATAGGGTTTCATGTTTGAGTGGTAGGGCATTCCACCTCGAGCAGGGCCTGGTCGAGGTCGAATGGCATTTCCTTGTATTCTGGAGTCATTAGGGGCTGGACGTTTCAATGGACGTTCTGCACCATTTGCGGAGGAATTGAAACGTTTTGGGCCTGGGGAAAAAATTAACATTAATTGATGATGAAAAAATATTAACAAATCAATAATTCAGTTTTAACACAATTCGAATGAAGTGACATCATTAATTCAAATGAAGACATAATTAATAAATTGATATGATTTAGTTGAAGAAAAATATCGTTAATTGATCAAATTATTTTCGGTTGGGAGAATGACAAAATTATACCAAATGAATATATATAGTAAGTTAATTTATAGATTTTTGTCAACTGTCACTTAATCATGAAAAGAATTAATGATTTTCAGACTCATAATATCCCTTAAAATTCTTTCTAGAACTATCAGTATCAAGCTAAGTCATTATTTCGGCAGCGAAGGGCTAGAACGAATGGAGTTCAATCAACTTCGGGATAGACAAGACCATTTTTATAAAACAGAGGAAAATACGTAAGAAAAATCCTTTGAAAATTTTCCTTAAATTTCAAGATATTTTGATGTCAAATTTCTATTAATTTCCAAGTTACATTAAAAAGCATTCAATGAAAACAAAGAAATGTCTCAAAATTTTCTTTAGATCTACCAATATCCAGATAATTCGCGATTTCCATAGCGAAGTGGGAAAACTAATTCACGTACATCAATTCCAGAATGAGATCTTTATAGAGGGAAGCATAGTATGTGACAAAGTAAATGGAAATTTTGTCCTCTTCAATCCTCCGATATTCAGAAAAATGAAAGTCAACATGAAAATAGCTAATCTCATCCTAAAATTTCACTGCTGATTCAACGTGGAAAAATTCACTTATTACATCTTACGACTTCCCTAATGAATTGTTGAAAATTTCATTACCTCGTGCAAAACCACCAGATTTAGCCATCTCAGCCATCTCACTCAGTCTCGGATTGATACTCTGTCCAGCTTCCCTCAGCACCTCGATCAAATCACCTGCGTGCTTCATATTCTGACTCGTAAAAAATGCATATGCTGTTCCTGTCTGTCTTCGACGTCCAGTCCTTCCAATTCTGTGAATGTAATCCTCGGACGACGATGGGAAATCAAAGTTGATGACGTATTTAACGTCATCGACATCTGTCAAACATAATAAAATGTTGGAAACCTTAAGAGACAGAGTAATATCAATAATTTATTACAAAAGTTTGACACTGACAATAATTTTTCTATTGGGCATTGAATTTTCATTCTATTTAAGATCTTTTCTAGATTTTAATCTTTTCCCTAGCCTCGAAACGTTCATTTTCTCATAAGATTTCGTGTTATTTTTGCACTTCTAGATTAATTATTACTGATTGAGCACAAACTCAACCAGAATGTATCAATTCATATTACCTGTCGTTTACAATTTATTTCAGATTTTACTCTTTAAAATTCAAGTTACGTTCATACTCCTTTAATCTTACCTAAACCCCTAGCAGCAACATCAGTAGCAACCAGAATCGGTGTCCTCCCACTCCTGAACTCCTGTAAAACATGATCCCTCTCCTGTTGATTCTTATCCCCATGGATACTCAATGCCTGCCACCCATCGCGTCTGATATTCCTCGTGATATCGTCGACTTTTCTCTTGGTCTCGACGAATATAATGGTCTTGTTCTCCTTCTCAGTTCCAATCTCCTGCAGGAGTCTCTGTAATTTGAAGTCTTTCTCGAATTCCTGACAGACGTCGACGATCTGAATGATGTTGTGATTAGCTGAGAGAGACAACGACCCGATGTTCAGCTGTGTGTAATTATTCAGAAAGTCTTCAGCCAGTGATCGAACCTCCTTTGGCCACGTGGCAGACCACATGAGAATCTGACGATCAGGGCGAATCTGCTCGATAATCTTGCGAATTTGGGGCTCAAATCCCATGTCCAGCATTCTGTCAGCTTCATCGAGGACCAGATAAGTGCATCGCTGGAGATTTGTCGTGCCTTTCTCGAGGAAGTCTATCAGACGACCTGGGGTCGCAATGCAAATCTCCACCCCACGCTCGAGGTCTTGGGCCTGAGGTCCTTTGGGAGCTCCACCGAAAATACAAGTGTTTCTGACTGATGCCGTCTCACCGAAGTAATTGGCAACTTCTTGAATCTGTTGCGCCAGCTCTCGGGTTGGTGCTAGGATCAGGGCCACTGGACCCTCCCCTGGACCTGGCCGGGGTTGGTTGATCAGGTGAACAATTGCAGGGAGGATGTACTTGAGTAGAAGAAATTCCACGTGTATAAAATCGATCAAATTATGACTTGGACATTTTTGGGTGCTATGCATTCGTCCACAAAACGGGTCCGGGAGGAAATGTTGAGGAATCCAGGCACAAAAAAATTTAATAGAAAAATCTAGCGAATTCGCTAGGCGAATTCTATTGACCAAGGCTGCAGGGGAATCGTGGCAGTGAAACATATCCTAACGAACTGCCCAAAATATTCAAACAGCGGAAGGAACATGAAAACATACCATTTAATATAATTAAGTATAAACCAAAACCAAATGTAAATGAAATGTACCAAATTTTTACTAAATTCACAAGAACCTCGTTGTTGATGCGACTTTAAATAAATTTTTTTAAAATCCTATTGAATTTCTGTTGAGTTTTTCTGTTAATTTTTGGTCGATTGTAGTGAAATGTTCAATAGAAAATATTTTATAGAAAAAATCAATAGAATTCGATTTTTCTATACAACTTGTTCTATTGAGATATTTCTTATAGAATTTTTTCGGTTCAAATTTTCTAAGTTTCTTTTCATGCTATTTTTGTTTTCTTTTCATCCAGAGAATCAAACAAGAGAACTTAAAAAATTTGACTGGAGGAAATTTTATAGAAAATATCTCGATAGAATAAATTGGATAGAAAAATCGAATTCTACTGACTTTTTCTATAGAATATTTTCTATTAAACATTTCAATGGAATCGACCAAAGACTAATAGAAAGTTCAATATAGCAATCCAATAGAATTGTCTAGCGAATTCGCTGTTTTTCTAATAAATGTTTTCGTTCGTGCCTTCTGTGGAAATCAGACAATTAAGTTACAAAAAATGTCTCAACTTTTCTCGCACACTGAGAAAAAAACGACAGAGGTCTCAAGCAAGTCTTACTTATGCAAAAAAAAAATTTTTTTCAATTATCAAAAATGGATTTTTTGTGCCAAACATGCAAACAGAAAAAAACTTAGAAAATTTGAGGCGAGGAAATTCTATAGAAATCATCTCAATCGAATACATAGTATAGAAACATCGAATTCTTTTGAATTTTCTACAGAATACTTTCGACCAAAAACTCATAGAAAGGTCAACAGAAGTGCAATAGAATTGTTTGGTGAATTCGCTAGGTCTGTCTATTAATTTTTTTCGTGTGTGGATCAGCGTATCCAACAAAATATGAAAAATAGATTGGTTCTGTTCTACGCAGCTCGTTCACTATTGCGTGCCACTCAACTTACTCCAAGTGTTTTCCCCGAGCCAGTCTGAGCAATAGCAACAAGATCTTTTCCACTGAGTGCAACAGGCCATCCTTGAGCCTGAATGGCCGTGGGGTGAAGATACCCCTGTCTTTTTATCCCCTGCATGACGTACGGTGGAAAATTCCCTTCCTCAAAATGCTGAATGGGATTTGGCACTTCTTTTCCCATCACAGTGATCTCATTTGCTTGACGAAACTTGTTGACTTCCTCCGGAGACCTATTCCAATCAATAATTCACTGTCTAAAATAATGTTTCAACTTCTTCCCCCTTTCGGTTCTTCAACACTGTTGAAAATTTTGTTTGAAATTTCTGATACCTAGTATTTCCGCCGGAAATTTTCCCTTTTTTCGATTGAGCATGGTGCAAATTAGCTCACATCATCGGAAATGCTTTAAAATCGCAAAAAAATTAGAAAATTGTGCGTGGTATCCCCTCGATAGGATATTTTTTTTATTCCTTACCGAATCTGACTATTTTCACGAAACATGTTAAAACATTAGTCTGGGATTCGGATTCGTTCTATCCAAAAAAATGTTTTGCAAATTGCGTTTTTAAACATTTCTCCCTTTTTTTAATTTTTCAATTTTGCCATTATTTATCAATGATTTATGGACCATAAATAATGACTTTTTGAATAGAAGAGTAAAAAAAGTGAGAAATTAGAAAAAAAAATTTAAAACGAAATTTGAAAAAAATTAATTTTTCAATGTTTCGTAAATATACTCATTTTAAGTAAGAAAAGAAAGAAATCTTCAATCGAGGTGGGGCAACATGCCCAATTTTCTCATTTTTTGAGATTTTAAACCATTTTCGTCAGAAATACATATTAAAAACCTGAAAAAAATTGACCTTTGATGAGACGCAAAAATTTTGACAAAAACATAAAATTCAAGTTAACGTTGTGGGTATAATAACATTTGAAAACATTTTTTTGAGGCCTTTTGAATAATAAGACCAGATAAGACGCCTCAACAAAATTAAATTTTTGAAGGGACCGGCGACGGTGGCCGAAGCGGTTAAATCTCTCGGCCGGACAGCGGGACCCGTGAGGCGCGGGTTTCGAGTTCAGTTTGGGGCAATTGCGATTTTTAATCTTTCGGAAACTGTCGAACGAAAGTCTAGACACCGAGAATCATCGGAGAAGTGTTAGGAAAACATTCTCCGATGAAGCTCGGTCGATGGACGCCCGTGTCGACCAAGGTTTTCCAGGGTTTCCCTTGGTCACCAGGAGAGTCTGTACGTGGGGTACAGCTCCTTGGGGTATAATGCGACACGGTTGAAGCGGAAGTCGGCCCATGAAACCGCAAAACATGTAAAAACCCGAATAGGGTATATATGGCAATAAATAGAAATAGAAATTTTTGAAGGTACGAAACCATTCCAAAAATTGGCGAAAATATCCATATTTCAGTTCAATTATCCCACGAAAATGAATAAAAGCAAAGAAAATTATATTATGAAATTTTCAATAATTCAGCGAAATTAGGTACATTGCTAGAAAGAAAATGAAATTTCATGGACAGTTGACAATTTTCAGGACCAGTGACACTGAATGCGATTAGAGGAAAAAAATAATCAAATTTCGGGTTTCATTGCAGATTCAGTAAAATACCAGAATTGTAAGCGGCATAAAGACGAGAATTCCGTAATTTATTTGAATTTTCAATCTAATATGGATATTCAGTGTCAAATTACATTGAATTTTCAGTGAAGTCTGAAATTTGATGGTTTTTTTTAATTTATCACATTCAGTATCACTGTCCTGAAAATTCAAGAATATATTTACCAGAATTTTCTGGTTTTCTATTCATTTTCAGGGAAAAATGGTGCGAAAATTTATAGTTCTGCTTAAATTTTCCATGGAATTCTGAATTTTCAATGATAAGATATCCTGAAATTATTCCATGAAAATTTGTGAAAAAATCAAGAAAATTCAGGGAAAAATTGAAAATTCATGTCATTTTGTTTCTGAATTTGCATGTTCCATAGAAAATTCAACCAAGCTGTGAAATTTTTGTTTCACTCCCACTGAAAAGTGATGAATTTCCTTGAATTCTACCTAAAACTTGAAATTTCACAACCAATATTCCCATAATCGGATTCAACGTCACTCTCATGAGAATTGCTGCCATATTTCCCATGAAAATTCTACAAATTTCGAACAGCGTATTCACGTTCTGTCTAAAATTTGAAGAAACTTTAGCAATTCCCGTCGTCCTGCTGATCAAAAGCTTAGAATTTCATTGAATTCCAGTGAGATCTGAAATTCCACGATTCTCTCCCCCGAATAGGCTTCACTTTCACCAGTGTAATAAAAAATTTAGTATTTGAAACCAGACCTGTGTTTGACCGCTGGATGCTCGACATAGAAGTCCTTCTTGATGGGCTGGAGAGACCTGACATCCCACTGCAACTTCTTCAAGGCACTACCAGGCTGTTTACCTCTCATTCCCCCTCTGTTCCCCCCGAACCTGTGATTATCGTGTTTACCCTCGTATTTCATGTCACGAGGACCTCTCTGATTCCCCCCGCCTCGTCCTCCTCGTCCATGATCCCTCTCGTGATGATACCTAAACATTTTTCATCAGATCACAATCTACACTTTACCCCAATAATCCCAACACCCATGAGAATAATTTTAGAAAATGAAATTAATGTTTCAAGGGGTGAAAGGTCAGCCCCGCGAGTTAGATACGGGATATTGATTGTAATGAGGTACGTAGAGGTGATGAGAAAAATGGCGGTTTCATGGTGAACAAATCCAAATGAATTTCCCAACCACTCCCACCCCATTTGAAGCCAAAATCTATATTTTTCATTTGTTTTCTTTTCTACTCACATCTTCCAACGATTTCCGATTAATAATTCGGGCACTTGGCAACAGTTTCCAACTCTCTGTACGCAACTACCCGAGAATCAATCGATAGTGGCTATCGGCGCACTGTTGATGAGAAATTAATCACGATTGTCGGACAGATCGACTTCTTTCAATTATCAAAATGACGTGAGGTGCTCTTACGAATGGGCTTGTCGTTGGGCTCTCGATGAGAATCAACACGATTGATGAACCGCGGTGTCAGCGATGTTTTGGACGTTACCGGCAACTCCCGCCGGCCGAAGACCTGACAAGTGAACTTCCGAAAATAGTGCCTCGGTAAACTGTTGTCATGACAACTGCGGAGGGATACAGAATTTCGCAAAGCAGGCCATTTCAGGCTGCGGGAAGGGGGGGGGTTCGTTTAACTTTATACCAGAGAGATTGTACTACACATTCCATTTCGTACATTTTCGTGAAGTACAACAGCGCCACGCCGGACACAAACAGAGTTTACACAAATTTTTTCGAACACATCCCAGACGAACTACTTCGTCACTCTCCTTTACCAACAAAATTGTCGGTCATTGAAATTGTCATTGAAAGCCCGGGTTGAAGACCCGAGTTTGTAGCAAAGATGTCAGGAAAGATATGAAGGTTTTTTTGGGCTCAAACAAAAGAGCGGGTCGAGAAATGGCGTGCTAGGGCCTCTAAAGATGGCTTTGAACCAGGGGAGANTCGAGAAATGGCGTGCTAGGACCTCTAAAGATGGTGTTGAACCAGGGGAGACTCCTAGAACCCACTGGAAAATGTTGTCACAATTGCGCTTTTCAATTGAAAACAGACATCATCTTTAGAGAGATTTGTCATCTTTAAAGACTTCTGCACGCCATTTCTCGACCCGCTCTTTCATTTGAGCCAAAAAAAACATTCATATCTTGTCTGACATCTCTGCTACAAATTCTGGTCATCAACTCTGGTTTTCAGTTGAAATTGGAATTGTTAATTTACACAATAATAGGAGTGCATGGACGATTTTTTCTTAACTCGCGAAAATCTTCAAACAATTTGCTACCGATTGGTGATAAAATTTTTTGGAAATAATGAAATAGGGGGGATAACGCCTTTTTTTCAGGGGTGATTTTTCAAAAATTTATTTAAAAAAAAGTACTAACTAGCAAATGTTTTTTATTAGCTCGCAATTTTCTTCAAAACTACTTCAATGAAGAAAAAAATAAAAATTTGGAAAATCCCTACATGAGGGGCTAATTGATCGGATCTTCGTGGGGTCAACCGAAAATCCGGGAGTAAAACAGAACAGCAGAGGGCGGTGCAAATCAAAACAAACACTTCTCGAACACAACACTCGCCAGTGTTCCTTTGTTCCGCAATTTCCGCGAAAAATCCCCTCCTGTACCCAGAAAAAAATCCAGAATGGAAATCTCAGAAACCGAGTGATCGAATTATGTTTCCAAATCGCGAACTGCGTGTTCTGTTGAATGACCACCAGAAGTCTCCGAAAAAGCCGTCAGTTTCAGGCGCAAGCAAGGTTAAGGTCAGCCGGCGTCACAGGCCGTGTCCGTTGTCGTCGAGCCGCCTTGAGAAACCTGAGCAATCAAAAGCGGAAAAATTGAAGAATCCCCTCTTCAACATGGGGAGAAAGACGGAACCATCGACAACTCCGAAGCGACAGACACGAGCCTCGACGAAGACTTCGCCGACAATAATGTACGACGACCCTGAGCCGAGGACTCGAAAGCGCAAGAAACCAAAGACCTCAGGTACGATGGAAAAATCCGAAGATGCAGCTGAGGTCAAGGAGGAGATCACCATGAATCCAGGGGTTGAGCAGAACAACATGAAGCCCTTGAAGAGGGGAAGAAGACGAAATCCAGAGGTTGAGAAAAACAACAACGTCGAGCCCTCGAAGAAGAGACGAAGGAGAAATCCAGCGGCTGCGATAGATCTGGAGGATTCTGAGATCTTCGAAATCAAACGGGAGGAGCAGTCTGGGGTGGAGAGCCTCCTAGACAATTCAGAGCTGACGATAAACTCCACAATTTCAAAGATTCAACTCAATGATTCCGGATTCGATGGTAATGGCCCGAATAATCATGCAGCTGATGGGATCGAAGCACGTGTGAACGATGAGAACAACCAGAATTACAATAACGAACAGAAGAATAACATTTTGATGAGGGGAACGAGAGGAGCTAATGTTCAAGATCATCATTCAGACGTTGAGAACATGATCGAAGACCTGATTGACGTAATTAGAGTTGAGGAAGCTGGAGGGACCGATGAAGACTCATCTGAATCTGCTGGAGATGAAGAAAGCACGAAGAACATTAACTCAACTCCCACTAAACGAATCCCAGACCTTGGAGACACTGATGATCCTCGAGAGACAAAGATGAAGTGCCTGAGCGAGATAATCTCTGATGTCTTCGACCTGAAGCTCCCAGAGTCTGAAGAAAGGAACTACTTTCTCCTCAAACAAGTTCTCGAAGAATACAAACGAGAGAAGAAGTTCGAGTTCTTGAAGAGCGAGACTGAGAGGAAGAAATACGAGAGGGCAGTGAGCAGTAATATTCAAGGGATTAAAATGATCCTGACTAAGATGAATAGAAGGAAGAGGATGGTCGATCAGACGACTCAGACAGATGAGGAGCCCCTTGAAGAGCCCAAGGACCTTGAGAGTGTGCCTGAAGAGGGAAATCCCAAGAAGGAAATTCCTCCAGCAGCTTCAAAAGACGATGTTCCTGGGGAGAATCAACAGTCTTCAGACGATCCAGCTGGTGATCTAACTGGAATGATCGTCTTGGACTCTGTGAGTGGTTCTAATGACCACCAGGGCTCGGTATTCCAGCGTCTGGGGGAGCGCACTGCGGAGAAATTCCCAGACGTCGTCAGGCAGAGTCTCCATCAGTTGGAGGAGAGCCCGGAGAATCCTTCACCAGGACCTCTTACTCCCATAGAACTCCAACAAGAGATGATTGAACGTCGTCGGAGGGAATGCAACATCGTCATCACAGGCTTTCGGCGCTCGTGGAAGAGGCTCGAGGACGAGCTCAACGACTACTTCTGGAGGACTATGGGGGTTCGTGCTGGAGTCGTCAAGGTCGAGGGGGGGCACACTCTGGTGGTGACTGTGGCCTCTCACCGCGTCAAGCAGCAGATATTGAAAAAAAAGAAGACTGCGAGGTTCTGCCATGTTCGAATCCACTCGGACTACACCTTGAGGGAGAGGCAGGTGCAGATGTGGCTGGGGGATGAGGAGCGGAGGAGGAACAGGGCTGGGGGGAAAGCCAGGGCTACCTATGGGAGGATCAATATTAATGGACTGTGGTGGCATTGGGACGAACTCCAGGGACGACTCACTAGGTCTCCGTTTCGTCCTGATTTAATTCCCATGGAGACGATCTTTGCTAGGAACTAGGCACCTGTGGCTGGAGCGTTCGTGGATCCAGTGGTAAAACGTTGGAAAGTAAATGCTCAAATCCATTCTTTCATTCGTAGGAATAGGCAGAAAGTGATACATTGAATGTTAAACGTGTTGGAATCTAATGGAGAGCAAAATTTTTGTTGATTTCTCGTTGAAAAATTGAAATCTGCTCTTAAAAAATGAGAGATGAAGATGTTTTTCAAAAAAACTCTCTATTACTCTGGATTTTCTCTGAGGAACAGGTCCCCTGGGGAAATTTCTGGTTCTTTAGATTCTTTAAATATTAATTGAATCATCTTCATAGCAAGTAATTTTGAGGGATTGTAGAGCAATACTTTTTGTTGACATTTTCTCCTAAATATGTGAAATTATCTCGATGATGACGCATTTTAGAGGAAAATATCAGAAGACACTTTCTGTTGAAAATTTCCTCAGCTACAAAAAATGTCTGTTACGTTTCTTCCTAAAATGCCTCCTTCTCAAGATAAATATATAACTACCAAAACAACGAGACTAGAGTTCCTATTGAGAAGTTGAAAACGTTTACCTTTTGTTATTATTATAAGAAAAAAAGTTTACCTCATGATGAAGTCTGAGAAACTTGCGATTACAGAAGACTTGACGTTAATACTAAGCTGCACCAGTATTTCTCTCATTATTTTTTTTACATTAACAAAGTCTTTGTGATGTTCACGAGGCTTGAAGTGTGTCAAAATGGCGTACTATTTTTTTCCTCATTATTCCCAGTTTTTGTTTTTGTTAATGAAACAGTAAACACTTAAGAGAATGATATTACTATGATGAAGTTGTTCTGAACATGTTGAGAACTGTATACGATAGTTATCCAGATGAAAATTCTTTATATGAGTAGATAATTTATAATAAATAAGGCAGTGTTTTTCAGAGTTGAGAAAAATATATTCATTACTAGCAAAAATACATCGTTTTTATTATTCTCAATTATTACTCTTGAATACTTATTTTATATTTAACAAGAATTGGACTTTTACAGTAATAGATTTTATTCTGCGATGTGAGATATATTTTTTGACTGTCACTGAATCTTCATTTTATGACATTTTTATGTCCATTCTATTGAGTTTTTAATTTGAAATGATTAATTCTTCAATTCCATATACACTTTAGTTTCACCTTGTAGCTCAATGGGCAGCAGCTCCACCACAGAATGAATTCTTTAACAAAAAAAATCGTACAACTTCTTTCTATCCTATTCTTCATTACTTATTAATTCTTCAATTTCCCAAAATACGAATCAATGCTTCGAGTCTTCTTACTCCCCTCCGGCGACGAGCTCTTTTCCTTGATCCTCTTCACAGAATCCCCCAAATCCCGATTAATCCTCTTCTGTAAATTCTGGGCAACATGAAAATCGCAATGCTCAGAATACTTCTCCCCCTGGATCATCAGGCCGCACTCGCCACACCTAATCTTCGAAGAATCATCACCACTGCCAGAACTCTTAACAAAAAAATCCTGAATACTATTTCCCCTCTTACCAACCCCCGCATTCTTCATTCCAGGGGATTTACCCCCAGAACCTCTACTTTTACCCTCACCACCCTTATTCCTCCCTTCCATAAACACTTTAGCTTCATCTTGCAGCTCAATCGGCAGCAGCTCCAGCACCGAATGGTCCATATCATCCAAATCAGGAAATATTTCCTTCAGTTTCACCAGACTCTCCCCGTCCCCCCCACTCCCCTCCTCCTCCTCTCCCAAAGAAATTTCAGAAATCCCCTCAATCCTCTCCCCTCCCCCCTCCCCCCCTATCATCTCCCCCGATTTTCTCTCCCCCTCCCTCCTGAAATACTCCGCGAACCCCGCAGTCTTCTGAACCCCAACGAACCTGGTGGCCCCCAGCGAGATAAAGACAATCGGCATCTGGGCGCCCCTGTTGATAACACCGAAAGCCGTCTCCGCGATCCTCTCCCTCCTGTAAGCCCCCATCGCGCAGCTCTTCGCCTGCGAGACAGTCCTCTCCTCCTTAAGATAGTGATAGCAAACAGTCAGCGTCGTCGCCCTCCTCCGGTTGTCCTCCAGGTCCTGCTGGAGCCTCTCCTCGAGATCCCCCGCGAGCTCTCCCACCCACCCTCTGAGGCCCTCCAGGTCGACGATAGCAGCCCTCCCGAAGAAGTTCTTGCTCGCAGCGATGGACTTGCATATCAGTCTGGGCGTCACGGGCTCCTGGTCCACTCCCCTGGCCACACCGAACAGCCACTTGGCGGTCCTCTCGTCGAAGGTCCTCGCCAGCTGCTCCAGGCTGAGCCCCAGGAGATCAGACATGACTCTACACCCCAGATTCTCCATCAGCGTCTTTCCGATTTTCCCCCCGAGGTTCCTGACTCTGTTGACTGGGATCGAGCTGAAGAGCTCTGGGACCTCGGCAGACGTCAGGATGGTCTGCTTGTTGGGCTTGTGGAGGCCGCAGGCGAGCTTCGCCAGGACCTTGTTGCAGGATATCCCAGCGGAGCAGGTGAAGCTGCACTTCTGGAGGATTTCCCCTCGCAGTTCCTCGACGATCACCGCGGCGGTGGCCAGTCGCCTCGACTGGTCGTCGCTCGGGTCGTCGAAGACCTCCTCCAGCCATCGCTGGAGGCCCTCCGAGCGCGCGGACTCGTCGTTGGAGGCCCCGCTGTAGCCGACGACGAAGGTGTTGGCGAGGGGAGCCTCCAGGTCCCTGGAGGAGGTGGCAGTCGACTCCAGGCGCTCCTCCACGAGGTTCGTAATGTCCAGGTACGCCTCGTCGATGCTGGCACGCTCTATCGTTGGGCAGCGCTGCCTCAGGACCTGGAGCACCTCCTGGCCTGCCGCCCTGTACTTCGTGTTGTCGGATTTGCCGTGGGATATCGGCGAGTTGACGATGGCCACCGAGGGACACTTCTCCTTGGCATCCTCGGATCTCAGGAATCTGGTGACGCCCAGGGCGCGCGCCTCGTAACTCACTGCGAGGACTACGTTGTTCTGGGAGACCACCAAGGGCTGACCCTTAAGGTGCGGCTGATCGCGGGACTCCACTTGGCAGAAGAAACAGTCCATGTCGATTAGGACTATTATTCGATCCTCTGGGGACCACATTTTCTGGGGCTAGAGGATGTGGTTGTTTTGCCTTGCACGTGGGGATGTGAGCGCGGGCAAGGGGATTCCCTGGGTTATCAACTGAAGAGGTACGTTATTTGAAATCGGGAGGGAAGGAATGGGCCGCGGAGAATCGGAGGTGTGGGAAAATGTCATGATGGTGAAAATGTCAAGGGATTTTCGATTGACCAAACAATCGTCAATCTTCGTACCTAACTTATTGATTAATAATATAATTCAGAATTTGAATATTTAAATTGACGATCACGAAAATGATTTAAAATTTAAAAGTAATGTTGAGTAATTGACGGCTCCAAAAGTTAACGGTAATTATGATTTATGAATATGGCTATCCCTGGATCGAATCGGCTGAAAATAGAGTTTAATAGAAATTCAATAGAATTTTCTAACGAATTCGCTGCGTTTTTCTATTAAATTTTTTCATTCGCGGTCTTACAAATTGTGTAGCAATTGCTTAAATGGTACCTTTCGAGTGTACATGCAGACTAGAGTACTATCTATATATATTTAAGACAGAAGTGTCGAGATGGTGACGATGCCTGCTACAGCTTGCCCATAGTTTTCCGTACCCTCTTGAGAATGAGTTTTATCCCGAATTGAAGCCTCTAGTCACGGCTGGACACTCTCGAGGCCTTCAGCATGCCTAATTACGTTTATTTTTACGTCAGAGCAGTCTCCGATGACAATGGAAACGTTAAAAATGAGAAATTCGTCAGAGGGTATGGCAAAACAGTCCCCAAATGAGAAATTATTGTTAATTTCCTATTTTTTATCTTCAATTTGATTATTTAGAAATGCCGAGCTGCTTGATGTTCAAATACCGGGGGACCTCTGGGGGACTCTTGGTCGGTATAATCTACTCTCGAGGAATCTCAGGGGAGGTCTCACGGGCTGTGGAGACATTCATCATCCCGCTAAGGTCACATTCAAGGTTTGAATCATATTTTTTATACATTTTTTTTTGTTCATCACGTACAAAGAATTCTATTTCTAAACAGAAATGGTGTAAGTGGTATGAATAAAATCATTCGCTAGAAAATTCTATTGAACTTCTGTTGCAAAATCATCATCATCACTTCGCAGAAAAAATTAATAGAAAAAAATTTTAAAAATCAAAAAAAAATCTTGAAAAGAACATTTTTTTTTCGTTTTCTTCTGGAGCTTATTCCATTGATATATAATCAAATTAGGTTTTATCAACCATTATTAACACATTCCTCAATTTGAAAAATAAAAGAAATTATATTTAATAAAACGTTATAATTTTATTAATTTCATGAGCTTTTGGTTTTTTTTTAAGAAAATAGAAATCGAATTGAGCGACAAAGCTTGGAAAATTTATAGAGAAATTTCTAATGAAAATATCTGAATACAATAAATTGTGTAGAATGATCAAGTTCTATTTCGTCTATTAAATAATTCGCATTCAGATTTTTTATTTTTAAAAAATGTCCTATTTTCTCTATAAAATAATTCCTATTAAAATTTTCTTATTAAATTTTTCACTTTTCTGTTGAGAATTAATTTCTATTAAATAAAACTCTTTTCCACGAGATTTTCCGTAAGCGAAGAATTTAATTCTTTCGTAAACATAGCGTCTGAAGAGTTGAAAAGCTGCAGTTTATTATAAACAATAAAGCAAGTCATATTTACGATGCTGGTAAAAACGTTAATTTCTTCTGGATGTGGTCCAACTCTTTCCCGCTGGGGTGATGGTTCCATATTTTTAGATCCGCTATTTCCAAACACATCTCATGTTTTACACAAACAATCATTAACTCATGTTTCGATGTTTATGTTGAATGTTTTCCATAAAGAGGAGCAGGAAAATTGAGGCGAAGGTCTGGGAAATTATCTTCTCGTTTTTCAACACGGAAATTGATTAAGTGTTGAGGAAATGATCTGGGTTCTGGGTATCGGGTGTAGTAGTACATTTTCGGAGACTTTTGGAAATTTATGCTGTGGACGGGTTTCATGTGTAAATCATTGGGACGTGTTTACCTTTCGGAGAATTAATTGAGGAAAACATTTATTTTGATGGGTTGTCATTTTGCGAACAACAGGTTTAGAAAATATTCCGTAGATATTTATTTCGTGGAGGAACAGGTTTGCATAGAAATGTTGAAAGACTTTTTTCGTCGGAAATTTTGTGAATTCCAATAAATCTTTTTTGATTTTTTTTATAACTTCCAGTTTTTGAGATAGTTTCGAAAATTTAATTCTATTATTTCATTTTTATACAAATCACACTATCGATTTAACCATTTTCAATCATGAAATTTGTCAATTAAATTGCATGAGAAAAATTTGAAAAAAATCATTTGCACAGAATTATTATTTTCTTCAGCCTTTTTTGTTTATAAATAAATAATTGGAATTGTCTAAATTTTCAAAAACCTTATTTGTTAGGCATGAGATAGATTTCCAGTAAAATTCTGAATGTGAATAAATTTTTTAATTTATTCACATTCGTAAAAAAATTGCTGAAAAAAAAACTCGAAAATTTATGTCGAAAATTTTCTACAGAAATATCTCAATAGAATAATTCAATAGAATAACTTCCTCACGAACATCAAATTCGTTCTAATAACCATTTTGCATTCAAGACCATTTTACTTCCCAATATCATCTGCGAAGGAACCGACGGAATTTCCAATAGAATTCCCCACCGGATGCGCTATAGTTTTTCAACGAAATTACACCGTTCGCGCTCCCTCGAATCTCCCCTCTCCTCAAATTTCCCCCGAAATAATTCTCAACTCTTTCAACTCACAATTCCAAGAATTAACCGGTTCACCCACCAAAACAAAGCCCAGTGCAACTTATTTCTAGACCTCGCAAAGAAAAAAAAGGCGCGAGTTCGTCAGCCCCAAAAAAGTCCCCACATGGTCCCGGTGACTCTGTTTTCCTAAAAAATTCCCGAGAATAATTTTTCCTCAAATTTCCATCCCCCGGTCGTCGGGACCATCGGCACTGCCCTCAGAGTTTCCCGGAGAGATTCATACCGCAATATAATAACCCAGAAAATCGATTTCCCGAACGCAATCGCAGAATCCACGCGACAAATCTCCCACGGATGCACCGCAATTCTCCCCTCAATAGTTTCCCTGGGATGTTGCTCTATTTAAAGAACTGTCCCCGCGATTCCTTTTATCTTTCCTTTATCGTGTCATTTTACATAATAACGAGCAGACGGAGGGCTTCGACTGACTCACGTTTTTCAAACCCCGAGACTTGCCATATGACAGGCGCGGTGGCTCTTTGATATCTGCAGTGTGCCACCAGCCCTCGGACCAGGCAGTTTTATCACTTCGGAGTTTAGCATTTTCACGCGTCTGTCACTAGTAATCAAAGTCACTTGAATGCATCTACTCGTTATCCTTTCATTCACGGTCATCGGATGAGGTGTTGTGCTGTGGTTCTTATCAGTGATTAAAGCAGATGTTTCGTGATTTTTCAGTTTTCAATTGATCGTAAATTATATAGTAAATTATGTAGGAGTTCAGGCGGACTAGTTATTTTCTACTGCATTGAGTGAATGTTGAGAAATACTGGTGAATTACTTTTATTATGACTTATATTATTGCATTAAAGAAGAAAATTTAATGGGATTTAATGTGCATGAAATAATATGAAATAGTACGTAAAAAATATTGGCAATCAGTCATTTAAAATGAGAGTTTTATTATTTTGTGTCAGGGAATCTATAATACGAAGTTCTTGCATTACAACTGCATTACAATTCACTCAATTCTCAATTTTTTGAAATTTGAAATTCTTTGTTTAAGTTGGAAGTTGAGGCACCTCTGTCACGATTTTTTTTTTAATAAAAGTTTTCAATAGAAAATATTTTATAGAAAAAAATTAGTCGACGTTGATTTTCAATAGAGCGGAAAAAACTTGGAAAGTTTATGTTTTAATAGAGTAAGTTTTGTAGAAAAGTCAAATTATCCTAATTTTCTCTTTAAAATTTTCAATTCAAATTGAACAGTTTCAATTTAATTGATCGCGTAAATTATGCACGAGTTCAATCGAACTATTTATTTTCTATTGCATTGAATGAATGTTGAGAAATACTGGTGAATTACTTTTATTATGACTTATATTATTGCATTAAAGAAGAAAATTTAATGGGATTTAATGTGCATGAAATAATATGAAATAGTACGTAAAAAATATTGGCAATCAGTCATTTAAACTGAGAGTTTTATTATTTTGTGTCAGGGAATCAATAATACGAAGTTCTTGCATTACAACTGCATTACAATTCACTCAATTCTCAATTTTTTGAAATTTGAAATTCTTTGTTTAAGTTGGAAGTTGAGGCACCTCTGTCACGATTTTTTTATTAATAAAAGTTTTCAATAGAAAATATTTTATAGAAAAAAATTAGTCGACGTTGATTTTCAATAGAGCGGAAAAAACTTGGAAAGTTCATGTTTTAATAGAGTAAGTTTTGTAGAAAAGTCAAATTATCCTAATTTTCTCTTTAAAATTTTCAATTCAAATTGAACAGTTTCAATTTAATTGATCGCGTAAATTATGCACGAGTTCAATCGAACTATTTATTTTCTATTGCATTGAATGAATGTTGAGAAATACTGGTGAATTACTTTTATTATGACTTATATTATTGCATTAAAGAAGAAAATTTAATGGGATTTAATGTGCATGAAATAATATGAAATAGTACGTAAAAAATATTGGCAATCAGTCATTTAAACTGAGAGTTTTATTATTTTGTGTCAGGGAATCAATAATACGAAGTTCTTGCATTACAACTGCATTACAATTCACTCAATTCTCAATTTTTTGAAATTTGAAATTCTTTGTTTAAGTTGGAAGTTGAGGCACCTCTGTCACGATTTTTTTTAAATAAAAGTTTTCAATAGAAAATATTTTATAGAAAAAAATCAGTCGACGTTGATTTTCAATAGAGCGGAAAAAACTTGGAAAGTTCATGTTTTAATAGAGTAAGTTTTGTAGAAAAGTCAAATTATCCTAATTTTCTCTTTAAAATTTTCAATTCAAATTGAACAGTTTCAATTTAATTGATCGCGTAAATTATGCACGAGTTCAATCGAACTATTTATTTTCTATTGCATTGAATGAATGTTGAGAAATACTGGTGAATTACTTTTATTATGACTTATATTATTGCATTAAAGAAGAAAATTTAATGGGATTTAATGTGCATGAAATAATATGAAATAGTATGTAAAAAATATTGGCAATCAGTCATTTAAACTGAGAGTTTTATTATTTTGTGTCAGGGAATCAATAATACGAAGTTGTTGCATTACAACTGCATTACAATTCACTCAATTCTCAATTTTTTGAAATTTGAAATTCTTTGTTTAAGTTGGAAGTTGAGGCACCTCTGTCACGATTTTTTTTTAATAAAAGTTTTCAATAGAAAATATTTTATAGAAAAAAATCAGTCGACGTTGATTTTCAATAGAGCGGAAAAAACTTGGAAAGTTTATGTTTTAATAGAATAAGTTTTGTAGAAAAGTCAAATTATCCTAATTTTCTCTTCAAAATTTTCAATTCAAATTGAAAGTCAAATTGAACAGTTTCAATTCAATTGATCGCGTAAATTATGCACGAGTTCAATCGAACTATTTATTTTCTATTGCATTGAATGAATGTTGAGAAATACTGGTGAATTACTTTATTATCATTTATATTATTATATTAATGAAGGAAATTGAATGCGATTTAATCTGTGGGGGATGCACATTTGACAGATTGCAGTACAAGTAATTCGCAAAAATTATTGGCAATCATTCATCAGTTAGTTGAAACGAGAATTCTATTATTCTGTCAGGAGATCAATAATAAGAAGCTCAGCATTGCAATTGCACAATAGTACTCACGAACAGCGGTAGTATTCCCTAGCTGTTTATTTACGCTCACTCTATTCTTCATGTCAATTACAAGTTCATGAGTGGATTTATCATTCGGACTAAGCGGTTTTATCATTTCGGAGTTCAACATTTTCATTCACCTATTACTAGCAATCAAAGTCACTTGAATAAATCTGTTCCTTGTCTGTTCATTCACGTTCGTTTGATTGATTATCAATTCGAAGCAAATGTCGAGGAGGTGTTGTGTTGTGGTTCTTATCAGTGATTAAAGCAGATGTTTCATAATTTCTCAGTTTTCAATTGAATGGGGAAATGATGCACGAGTAATCGGGCCATTTATTTTTTACGGCATTGAATAAATACTGAGAAAAATTGGTAAATGACTTGTGATTTTTTTCTAATATTGCAAAATTTTATTGAAAAAAAAATTTAATGTATGTGGGATTATATATAGTACTCACAAATACTCGCAGTATTTTCGTTCAAATGATTCTGTTTTCAATTATTCTTTTATCAGCTGTTATATTACTCCCTTATTTTTTCATTAATGAAGTAAGTTACGTAGAATCATGTTAAATTATGCAAAATTACGTAAATTAATTTTACATAATTAAATTATGTAAAATTAATTATGAAATATTACTATCTAGTCAGTCATATAATACTGAATAAGTGGAACAACACCTCACCCACCAAACCATTACAGTCGGTTTCCATTCATGGAAATTATTAGCAATCGCTTGTCATTCGCAACGACAATTCTATTTCGTATTAGGGGATCAATAATACAAAGACTGCATTGCAATTACTCAATGCCGTGGTTATATCCATACGTTACTCAGTCGTAAAGATAAAGAATTGTGAAACCTGTTGAAAAACCTAGTGAAACATTTAATGAGTCATTAAACAAAAAATTGGAGACAAAAGTGCTCAGTGAATTGAATAATATCCCTGCGGATCAAGATGACTAATTACGGGTGGAATATGGATGCTATTGCCGAGCCGGAGTTCGTCAGACAGAAAGTCGAGAAAAATGTAAGTTTACGCAGGGAAAATTCAATTAACAATGTACCGCATTTTGCGGAGCGTTGGAACGATCATTGGCATTGAACCAACAGTGCCAATTGTGTGAAGGTCGATAGACGAGCTGAGTGATGATTTATGTCGTACACGTAAGTTCGGTGGGGTTTCCTGTGATCAGATCCTAGGGTAACGAATGGAGATTTGAATTTTTTATGACGAGACGATGTGTTTTCTTCGTTTTTTATGAGGAGAACAAGGGGTTCAAAAAATTTCTGATAAAAATTGGGGCTTCATTCGTAAAGTTCGAGATATTCACCAGAAATTGAACAAGGAACATTATTTCATCACAAAATTTCATTCTCATCACTTGGGCGTAAAGTGAAAATTTACGAAAATTAATTAATTTAATCCGTGAATTGTTTTTTTACATCAATGAAGGGAATTTATATAGCGTTCCACATCTTTGTGACATCATACGAAATGATTGGATGGGATTTGGATGAGATGGAAAGGGATTATTCTCAATATGAATAACCAGAAAATCTTTACCGAAAAAATTGATAGTCCGGACTTAATTGCGCTTATTTTTTCACATTATAAAAACATTCTACTCTCTTTTATCTTTTTTTTCCTTTTTCAAAGCCTTTTTCTCTTTTTTTTTCAAGCGCACACAAAATAAAATACAAAGGAAACTTCAAAAGGAAGTAGAGGTTCAAAATCCTGAAAAATAGAATAACAAATAATTCAAAACAAAACCCTAGAATAAGTTAAACGCGAGCGTCACAGAGTGAACAATGTTTATAAACCCAAATAAAATAGACTAATTTTTTTTATATACCACTTTTTTTTATGTAAATAGTTGTAAATATTGTAAATAACACTTGTAAAAATGAATAAAAAACTTGGTAAAAAAAAAGTAAGAGCACCTGACGCGACATTGGAAGGTCTCGGGTTCGATTCCCGGCTAGGAAGTCCCTAAATTTTTTCTCTCAAAAAAAATTAAATTTAATTAATGCCTAATGATGGTACCCTAGTGGAAAAACATAAGGTGGAGGCGTAACATGCCTGATCAGAATTTCGGATCGGACTTGATAAGTTTCTGATCGAGACCTGAACAGGATTTCCACTCGGGAATGTCATCATTTAAAATTCTGAATTTCGTGGAAACATCAAAGAGAGCTGTAAATTTCAGTTCCATTTTTTCTTCTGGGGAAAGTTATACATTGGAATTTAACGGTTTTAATCCCATTAAAACCCCACAATACAAAATTCCACTAAAACCCCAAAAATAAAATTCCGTAAATTCCCCATTCGCCTCTCGACAGCGAAAACACCAATAAAACATTCCGCAAACGACCTTGAGACGGAGGTGTGTCCCGGTGACCCAGTAACACGAATAATCATCCCGAAAGGATTCTCTCCTCACCCCCCCCCCCCCCCCCCCCCCCCCCCCCCCCCCCCCCCCCCCCCNCACACCCCTCCCCGTAAGTCCGCCTTCATCCACAATTTTTCCTCAAGAAAAGAGATTAAAAACGCGATTAATGGCCAATGGAAAGTTCTCCAATGATGAGATCACAATGGGAATGGCTAGTCACCTAACGGTCCTCTCGCGCCGCAGTACTAGCACCGCATCAGTTGTCCCCCGCGATTCGATCCGATTTGCGAGTCGATGCGACTCCAATAATTAGCGAAAAACCCTCTCAACTCCCCTCGCGATCTAGTGTTTGTTAACGAATTGGTGGTGACCAAAGTGAGGCAATTCCTGAGTGTTGACTTCTTGATTGTTGACCGGTGACAATCGGGATGAGTGATTACGGAAATTATCAGCAGCCGTGTGGCTACGGCTGGAACGCGGCGGCTGTCGAGCCTGGAAACGACGTATTTGTCAAGAAAGAGTGCCAAGTCAAACGCGTTCTCCCGTCGCTATTCGCCATCAAAGTGGTACTGAACCTTTGTGGACATTTTTCTTTGTATTTGCATGATTGGGTTCACTTATTATCCCCGGATGCTCGGTTATTCTGTTTACTATAGGTATTTTGATGCATAACCTCACTTTTTGACGTATGGAAAAATTTAACAGACAAACCTAGTGCAGTCTAAGTTACCCTGGGTTGTTATAAAAATTGCCATGCCCTGCGTTCTTGAATTTAATTGAAATTTCGAATTTAGGGGAGGGTGGGGTAAAACGGACACTTTAGACTTTTTTTAAATTATTCATAACTCAGAAACAAATTGATCAATTGAGCGCAGTTTAGGGTTGTCACAAAGGGAAAGAATTGTTCTTTGTTTTGAAGAAAAAATTATTAAATTTTATCAACATTTCAACCCCTCATTAACATTTTTAAAAAAGTCAAACGTGTCCGTTTTACCCCAACCTCCCCTATATAATTTTTTTTCAATTATAGGGGAGGTAAAAAATTATATAGGGGAGGTTGGGGTAAAACGGATACCAGACTTTTTTACAATTATTCATAACTCAGAAACAAATTGATCAATTGAGCTCGTCACAAAAAGAAAGAATTGTTCTTTGTATTGAAAAAAAACTTCAATTTTCCAGTGAATACCAGTTTTCAGTGAATATCTCGGAATCTAAGGGAGATAGCAAAATTTTTGTTATAACCTTTTTTGTAGAGCCGGTTGAGAGCTACAACAAATGTAATTACGAAAATTTTGCTATCTCCCTTAGATTCGGAAATATTCCTGAAAAACTCAACTGGGAAATGAGTCGACTTGAACCGTTTTACCACTTCGCTACTGAATTTTTTTTTTTGTGGCTGGGGCAGCGCTTTCCCTGAGAAATTCTATACGAAATGAGAAAAAAATTGAATTAGAATTGAAATGAATTACTGTAGAATTTTACTTTCAAATAAATATCTCTGAATCCAGGAAACAGACGAAACGTTATTCGAATTTATAAAAATTACCTCATATTCTCATTAACTAATCCACTTACAAAACAATTAAAGATCTCCGCTATTCGATCATTCATCCAAAATACCAAATGCCCATTAAAAACGTACACATGACATTCCGTAAATTCTCCATTCAATTCTCAACTGAGAAAACAAAAAACAAGCGAAAATTTGATAGAAAGACGTAGCGCATTTGCTGGGAGAATCTATCAAATTTCTATTGAAAATTCAGCGAAAATTCTGTCATTTTGTTAGGAGAATTGATTTTGATTTTTCTATAAAAAATCTTGGGCATTAATTTTCCATGTTTTTTTGTTACATTTTCATTTGTTCCTCATAATGAAATCTAATACAATTTATAAAAAACTTGTTCAAGAATTTTTATAGAAATAATCCCTATAGAATGAATTATATGGAACAATCAACACCTATATACTTTTTCTATGAAAAATATCTCCTGAAAAACGCGTGTGAGAATCACATAATTTTCAATAGAATTGGCACAAATGACAGATAAAATTTTGTAATGCAATTCTAATATAATTCCAAAAGGAATTCCGTAAAATTCTACAAGCAACGCTAGCATTTTTCATTAAAATTTCAATTTTCCAATTACTGAGTAAATTCTTTTATTTTCCGCGTATTTACCATTGAAGCGGGGAGCAATTATCTCCCTTTCGGACGTTTTGGAGGGACTGTTGGGTAACGAATGGAGATGGAGTGAGTGGGAGAAGGCGATTATGACGTGAGTAAACTGGAGGTGATTCAGTTGTTATGAAGAAACACGATGAAATTATTTCCTGATACTGAAGCATTTCAAATGGATTGATAAGCGAATATCTGACTGGCAGTGGGTTTAGGGATAATTTTAGGCCTTTTTTGCACAACAGGAAATTACTTGAGAGACCTCTGGGATTTCCCAGTGCACACGTCACATACTCGCCAAAAATGTTTTCTCATCACTTCTTCAAAAATGTTTATTCTCAGGAATCGCAGAATTCCCAGATCAAATTTCCTCACAATTCCAGCAATAGCTAGTGGATTTCTTGAAAGAGCCGAGGGATGGCTCTTTTTGGAGTGGAACTAGACTCGAAAATCCTCCAATGAGGACCTCCTGTGCAGGTCTTAAAATTATTTGCAAAGGTCTCTTAATATTTTAGTAACAACCTACTAGCCTCGAAGACGAGAGAATCTTCTTGATTGAGAGAATCTGTAATCTCCCTTCCAGAATGATTAATTTAATTTTTGCATCACGACGTTAAACACTAATTGACCGCAACCCTATCCTTCCTTCCTATTGGATATTACGGAATAATCTGTGAATTAAATTTTCTATTCGCACCTTCAAACACTAGTTGATCACATCTATCTGGTTCCTTCATTCTTCACAACTTCCTACAGCTCTACAGTTCCTAACTTTTAAACTCTACCTCGAACTTCCTTCACTGCAACAATAATTCCAGACACTTCCGTAATCCCTTTATGATCTCTTAATCAATGACATGAGTAAACGTTCCATGACACATGTTAAACATTTTCTCATAAATTCTCACTCAATGGCTCATGCATCCCACTGCAATTGGATTTCAATTTACACTCTCTTCCGATCCCTTTTTTCTTCTATCCAATCAGTAATGAAACGCTCCATTACGATTTTTTAAACTTGTCTCTCACTAGTTCTCGGCATCACCCGTCGCCTCATGCCCCCAACAGGCATTATATTTTTAATTTTTCGCTGAAGGACTATGGAAACAGTCTGATATCATGCCTGATAACGCACCGGACACTAATACCAAGTTTTCCTCACCAGATAAAGAACTATTACACTGGTCAGTTTATTTCTGCCAGTTGCCCAGAACAAAGCGGTCTCCACCCTTGACATCAAGCCCCTCAGATCAAATCTCATTTAGTTCTTCTCCAGTCGGAAATTTGGAAATTAAAATGGAGAAGAAGCAGACGTACTCCTACAGCATCACAACACGTTACAAAAATTACATAGAGAGTGGTGTGGCAGAGTTGAAAATTTCTCAAATGAATGGAACAATTCGTGGCAATTTAACCAAAAGTTCTGTGGACAGTCTCAAAACGAGAGTTTTAACTCCACCAAGACCGGATTTGGCCAAAATTACTGATGCTAATAAATCGACAGTGAACAGGCATTTCATTTATAATGATAAACCGATTAAGACACGAGGAAATTCCCTAGGAAACGCTTGTTTGAACGTAAATTATAATTAATAATGTTAATGACAAGAGGAGAAATGATTTATCGATTAAAAAATATTCCGTTGTGCTTTGGTTCCCATTTTATGATAAATTCTCTGAGGATGACTTGACGAATAAATGTAATCAGAATTGATTTTGAATAAATTTGTTACAATTTTTAATGGGGATAAGTCATTCAGACACTAAGAAATTCAATAGGAAACGATTGTTTCGACGGAAATTACAATTAATAAAATTAATAACAATAGCAAAACGAATTTTTCATCCTATTTTCAATTCTCATCTAATAATTAATTTCCTCATAACGAATTAAACAATAAATTAAAAAATAAGAATCGATTTTTAATGAACTCATTAGCAAATTCAATGTAAAAACCTTGTCTCCACGTAAATAATAATTAATAAGATTAATATAACATCGGGGGTAATGATTTATAAATTAATTAGTTTTCTCAGAATTAAATGGAATAATAATAATTGATTTAATGATTACGTTCCAATTTTTTAAATGATAAATCATTAAGGCCCTGGAAAATTCAATAAGAAAATTGTGCTTCGAAACCAGGGATAGCCATATTCAATTTCTTGTTATTCAACTTATTCTGAATATAAATTAAAAATGCTCTTTGAAAAAATTAAGAATTTCTTCTACTTTATTTTGATTATTCATTAATAATTTTTCAAAAGTTCCGCATGATGCAGGACTCAATTGGCAATTTCAGCTGACGAAAGATGAAAAAAAACATCGAGATAACGTTCGAAAGATAGTACACCCGGGCCTTAAACTATTAATATATTGTTTTTAAATTTTTATGAATATATTTAAATATTTATCAACGTAAGTCGCAAATCCGTTTAATATTAAAGAAACACAATATTGATGGCCTTCCCTGTCCGAAACTGACACGAATTTCGAAGAAATATTTTCACGAAATAGATCATGCTCGAGGAAAATGTCCACTCATTTTCTATTTTCCTTCAGTAAATAAATCCATTCCAATGAATGAATGAATGAATGAAATTTGTTCAGTGAATGAATTACCAACGAAATTCGAGTTTGCAANAAAATTTCTCAAATGAATGGAACAATTCGTGGCAATTTAACCAAAAGTTCTGTGGACAGTCTCAAAACGAGAGTTTTAACTCCACCAAGACCGGATTTGGCCAAAATTACTGATGCTAATAAATCGACAGTGAACAGGCATTTCATTTATAATGATAAACCGATTAAGACACGAGGAAATTCCCTAGGAAACGCTTGTTTGAACGTAAATTATAATTAATAATGTTAATGACAAGAGGAGAAATGATTTATCGATTAAAAAATATTCCGTTGTGCTTTGGTTCCCATTTTATGATAAATTCTCTGAGGATGACTTGACGAATAAATGTAATCAGAATTGATTTTGAATAAATTTGTTACAATTTTTAATGGGGATAAGTCATTCAGACACTAAGAAATTCAATAGGAAACGATTGTTTCGACGGAAATTACAATTAATAAAATTAATAACAATAGCAAAACGAATTTTTCATCCTATTTTCAATTCTCATCTAATAATTAATTTCCTCATAACGAATTAAACAATAAATTAAAAAATAAGAATCGATTTTTAATGAACTCATTAGCAAATTCAATGTAAAAACCTTGTCTCCACGTAAATAATAATTAATAAGATTAATATAACATCGGGGGTAATGATTTATAAATTAATTAGTTTTCTCAGAATTAAATGGAATAATAATAATTGATTTAATGATTACGTTCCAATTTTTTAAATGATAAATCATTAAGGCCCTGGAAAATTCAATAAGAAAATTGTGCTTCGAAACCAGGGATAGCCATATTCAATTTCTTGTTATTCAACTTATTCTGAATATAAATTAAAAATGCTCTTTGAAAAAATTAAGAATTTCTTCTACTTTATTTTGATTATTCATTAATAATTTTTCAAAAGTTCCGCATGATGCAGGACTCAATTGGCAATTTCAGCTGACGAAAGATGAAAAAAAACATCGAGATAACGTTCGAAAGATAGTACACCCGGGCCTTAAACTATTAATATATTGTTTTTAAATTTTTATGAATATATTTAAATATTTATCAACGTAAGTCGCAAATCCGTTTAATATTAAAGAAACACAATATTGATGGCCTTCCCTGTCCGAAACTGACACGAATTTCGAAGAAATATTTTCACGAAATAGATCATGCTCGAGGAAAATGTCCACTCATTTTCTATTTTCCTTCAGTAAATAAATCCATTCCAATGAATGAATGAATGAATGAAATTTGTTCAGTGAATGAATTACCAACGAAATTCGAGTTTGCAATTGATTTCAAATGAATTAATTCCGGTTATAATTGACAGTTAGGAGAGAAAGGATCGGGATTCAGACCTCAGGGGGCTGTTCAAGATTTCAATCAACTGCGTCAACAGTGTCTCCAATCTGGCCAGCTGTTCGAGGATCCAGAGTTCCCAGCGGACGACTCCTCCCTCTACTTCTCCAGACGTCCAGACAGATACATAGAATGGAAGCGACCAATGGTAAGGGATTGAATTTACGTGGGTGGCTTTTCAGATTGCAAAGTGCATTGTTCCCTCAGGAAATTGCGGACAATCCCCAATTATTCGTCGAGGGATTCTCCAGGTTCGATGTCCAGCAGGGAGAGCTGGGGGACTGCTGGCTACTCGCTGCTGTCGCCAATCTCACCATGTATCCACATTTGTTCTTTCAAGTTGTTCCGGAGGACCAGGGGTTCGAGGAGAATTACGCTGGGATCTTTCACTTCAGGTAATTTGTGGGGATTTTGGAGGATTTTTGAAAAGCCATTTTAGTTCGGAGGGAAGTATTTTTTTTACTCTTGAACGATAAAACAAATATAAATATTGCAATAACAATAATTTATTTATTATATTGAGAGAGAGAGATTCATTATATTATATTTCATTATATCAATGTCAATTTTAAATTAAGACCCGTATACTACACGGGCCTTAATTTAAAATTGACGATTGCACCGATGTCTGGCAAGCTATTAAAAATTCTAAAAATGTTACAGATAATTTTTCAAATATCTGCGAAACCACTGCATTTATCTAAAAGTCCTTAGAGTCCTAGAAATTGAAACTGTATTAGTAGCATCAAGGAAATAAATGACTCTATTCCATTCACAAGCAAATTGCTAATTTATTAGCAAAAAAATATCGACTGTATTGTGACAAAAGCAATTTCCCACTTGTTCTAAATACTTCAACAGTGAATGTCTGTCCTCAGTACTAATCACTGTTAAACCAATGCCCACCAGATAATACACAAGTCTTAATTCAAAATTGACGATTGGACCGATGTCTGCTGCAAGCTATTAAAAATTCTAAAAATGTTACAGATAATTTTTCAAATATCTGCGAAACCACTGCATTTATCTAAAAGTCCTTAGAGTCCTAGAAATTCAAACTGTATTAGTAGCATCAAGGGAATAAATGACTCTATTCCATTCACAAGCAAATTGCTAATTTATTAGCAAAAAAATATCGACTGTATTGTGACAAAAGCAATTTCCCACTTGTTCTAAATACTTCAACAGTGAATGTCTGTCCTCAGTACTAATCGCTGTTAAACCAATGCCCACCAGATAATACACAAGTCTTAATTCAAAATTGACGATTGGACCGATGTCTGCTGCAAGCTATTAAAAATTCTAAAAATGTTACAGATAATTTTTCAAATATCTGCGAAACCACTGCATTTATCTAAAAGTCCTTAGAGTCCTAGAAATTCAAACTGTATTAGTAGCATCAAGGGAATAAATGACTCTATTCCATTCACAAGCAAATTGCTAATTTATTAGCAAAAAAATATCGACTGTATTGTGACAAAAGCAATTTCCCACTTGTTCTAAATACTTCAACAGTGAATGTCTGTCCTCAGTACTAATCATTGTTAAAGCAATGCCCACCAGATAATACACAAGTCTTAATTTAAAATTGACGATTGCACCGATGTCTGGCAAGCTATTAAAAATTCTAAAAATGTTACAGATAATTTTTCAAATATCTGCGAAACCACTGCATTTATCTAAAAGTCCTTAGAGTCCTAGAAATTCAAACTGTATTAGTAGCATCAAGGGAATAAATGACTCTATTCCATTCACAAGCAAATTGCTAATTTATTAGCAAAAAAATATCGACTGTATTGTGACAAAAGCAATTTCCCACTTGTTCTAAATACTTCAACAGTGAATGTCTGTCCTCAGTACTAATCGCTGTTAAACCAATGCCCACCAGATAATACACAAGTCTTAATTCAAAATTGACGATTGGACCGATGTCTGCTGCAAGCTATTAAAAATTCTAAAAATGTTACAGATAATTTTTCAAATATCTGCGAAACCACTGCATTTATCTAAAAGTCCTTAGAGTCCTAGAAATTCAAACTGTATTAGTAGCATCAAGGGAATAAATGACTCTATTCCATTCACAAGCAAATTGCTAATTTATTAGCAAAAAAATATCGACTGTATTGTGACAAAAGCAATTTCCCACTTGTTCTAAATACTTCAACAGTGAATGTCTGTCCTCAGTACTAATCGCTGTTAAACCAATGCCCACCAGATAATACACAAGTCTTAATTCAAAATTGACGATTGGACCGATGTCTGCTGCAAGCTATTAAAAATTCTAAAAATGTTACAGATAATTTTTCAAATATCTGCGAAACCACTGCATTTATCTAAAAGTCCTTAGAGTCCTAGAAATTCAAACTGTATTAGTAGCATCAAGGGAATAAATGACTCTATTCCATTCACAAGCAAATTGCTAATTTATTAGCAAAAAAATATCGACTGTATTGTGACAAAAGCAATTTCCCACTTGTTCTAAATACTTCAACAGTGAATGTCTGTCCTCAGTACTAATCACTGTTAAACCAATGCCCACTAGATTCTGGCAGTACGGCAGATGGGTGGACGTAGTGATAGACGATCGCCTACCAACATACCACGGTAAACTGATGTACCTCAGTTCAGCAGAGAACAGCGAATTTTGGAGTGCCCTATTGGAGAAAGCCTACGCCAAACTCCACGGTTCCTACGAAGCACTGAAAGGTGGTACAACATGTGAAGCTATGGAGGACTTCACAGGTGGAGTCACAGAGATGTACCAGATGGAGGAGACTCCCCCGAATCTCTTCAGCATTCTTCTGAAAGCCTACGAGAGGAACTCGATGATGGGCTGCTCGCTGGAGCCAGATCCCAATGTCCTCGAGGCTGAGACACCCCAGGGCCTCATCAGGGGACATGCCTACAGTATTACCCGAGTCAAGTACGTGGACATTCAGACCCCCAATCAGTCCGGGAGAATTCCACTGCTGAGGCTGAGGAACCCCTGGGGAAATGAGGCCGAGTGGAACGGCCCCTGGAGCGATGGATCACCAGAGTGGAGATTCATCCCGGATCATGAGAAGGAGGAGCTGGGACTCACCTTCGATGTGGACGGAGAATTTTGGATGTCCTTCCAGGATTGGAAGAGGTTCTTCACTAATTTGGAGATCTGCAATTTGAATCCTGATTCGCTTACTGAGGATGATCTTAACTCGGGGAAGAAGAGGTGGGAGATGAGCGTTTTCGAGGGGGAGTGGGTGAGGGGAGTCACTGCTGGGGGGTGCAGGAATTTCTTGGGTAATTTTTCAGAATCTGATGATTTTTGTTCTTGTTTTCGCCCTTTTTTCGAATTAATTCAGCTTTATTTTTTGTCCATCTCCCAGGAATTTTGTTCCAAATAATTAAAACGACTAGAAGGTTATTTTGAGAATATGTAGAAAACTTGCACGTATCAACAATTTTTATAGAAAACCCTAACGAATTCGATAGTAAAATTCTAGAATGTTTACAATCAGATATTTCTATCGTAAAAAAACTCACAGATAAATTGTAGAATTTTGTAGCGAATGCCCTAGGTTTTTCTCTATAACTTTTTCGTACGTATAGAATCAGATAAAATTTTCAAGAGACCTCTAAACCCCTTTCTTCCAAACATATTCACAGAAGAATTTTCAGATTAATTTTATTCATTAAAAAAATAAATAAAAAACTGTTGTTTGCATTTCAGAAACATTTTGGCACAATCCCCAGTACATCGTGACCCTAGAATACCCTGACGAAGGCGATGATAAGTGTACAGTGATTGTAGCGCTGATGCAGAAGAACAGGAGAGCCCAGAAACGAATGGGCGCTGATTGTCTGACAATTGGCTTTGCTATTTATCACCTCGACTACCCAGAGCGCCTGCCAAAACCTCTGGACTTGAATTTCTTCAAGTATAATGCGTCCGTTGCCAGATCACCTTCGTTTATCAATCTGAGGGAAGTCAGCTGTCGTTTCAAATTGCCACCTGGCACGTATTGCATCGTTCCTAGTACTTATGATCCTAATGAGGAAGGGGAATTCTTGTTGAGGATATTCTCTGAGAATAAAAATAGCATGGAGTACGTAGAAGTTATTATTAATTAGTTTAACGAAGGAATTTTGGAAATAATTCCGTAAAAAAGGAAATAGTGCGAAAATCTTACTCTCATTATTTTGCAAATAGGGGAGGATGCGGTAAAATGGACTCTTTTCACTTTTAAAAAAATATTCATAACTCATAAATATATTTATCGATTAAACTCAGTCTGAGCTCATCACGAGGAAGAAGAATAGCCCTTTTTATTGAAAAAAAACAATGATACAATTTCATTAACAATTCAATAAGTCATTAGCATTTGAAAAAAAGTAAAAAGTATCCATTTTACTCCATCGTCCCCTATTTAGAAATAATGTCTCAATGAACCTGAATTTAACATCAATAATTTTCATCGCAATATTGACCTGAAAGTTGGAAATCTATTGAATATTCATAAAATTATCTGACTCGCGAATAACAAAATTAATAGAAGTTTCGTAAAAATTCTTCGTTATTGAAAATTTCAAAATTTTTGCTTCAAATTGATGAAATTGTCCACAAAAATGTTTTATGACATTTTTCATCGAATGTATCGATCTCTTTTGACCCCATTTGTTCATTCTTGCTTGTCAAATCTATTCTCAAATATTTATCTATCGATATTTGTAATTTTCCAGGGAAAACGATGAATCTGTTGGCATTGGAGAAGTCGATGACAGGGTATGTACGACAATTCACCTTCAGTTTTACGAAATTAAATGTCAATATGAACAATGGCATTTCTGACACGTCAGCACGAGTAGTTGATCATGCACTCAGTGAATCAGTCTCAATGACTGAATAAATAACGTCATTGTAGGCACACCACATAATAGACGAGTCATTGATCATCCAGAAAATAAACATCCTCTCATCCTCACTGTTACATACAATTAATTAATGATAACATGGTTTCTTCTTCTGGGAGTGCTAAAACGCTAACATAACACGCATGAGAGTGGGCTTGGCTTTTAGGTAATTAATCGTGGAGATGAGGTTGGGGGTGGAGGAGACCACAGTGTGAGTTACTAATGGCTTTAATAATTATCTTCATCCACTAAAAATAAATTAGAGAGAATCATTCTGGAGGGGAGAATGAGAGATGAATTCCAGAATTTCCACAATTTTTAATCTACTTTCTTTCAAAATATCTACAAAATATTTTTTCTAGAGCAGAAAATTCTCTACGAAAACAATCTTCCTATATTTTTTTTTAAACTGCAATATTTTTTAATATTTTTGTAATATTATAATAACTTACACCTTAGAATAATGAATGTTTATCTATCTTTAAAATTTGAAAAATAATGGAATAATTAATAATATAAATTTTCAATTAACTATGATTGAAGTAATTGACAATATGAGATTGTTAATTGACTGTCAGGTAAATAATTCTAAATTTAACAAGATATTTTGTTTCGATTAACCATATAATAGTCAATCCTCCAAACTTAATTATTGATTGATAAATTAATTCGGTATTTGAATATTTAATTGATGATTGATTTAATAATTAAAAAATTGTTGGGTAATATCAATTAGTCAAGTAATCAAAAAAATTTAACTTACGTCCCGGATGGATTATCTTTCGAATGTTTTTGACAGAGAGGAAATTCTAAATGGGTAATTTATAATTTTAAAAAAGAAAAGCAGATCTGGAATCGTTTCACGTCTTCTTCTCATTTCACTACTAAATTTCCTACCAATTATTCCCATTACACAATTTATTAAATTTCTTTTCACAATTTCTTTCCCACCACAAGAGGAGGAAGAGGAACGCCCAAGTACACAAGCCCTAATTACAATACCAATTAAACTCTGCGGAAATGTCACCGGAGAAACTTTTCTATCAAATTATTTCAATCGCTTACAGGTCAGGGACCAGCCAGAGCCGGATCGCAACGAGGAAAAAGTTCGTGACTTTTTCCGGAAACTCGCTGGGGACGACATGGAGGTCGATTGGATGGAATTGAAAGAGATCCTGGACTACGCGATGCGTAAAGGTACGTCTCTAAAAACATCTCGTGGTCGTATCTAAATTGAATTTTGTAGAGAAGTCGAGAATGTACAGTTATCTTGGTAGCGAGTGGGTTTAGGGGGAAATATAGAGAGACTATTTTCATTGCGAGGATAATTCCATAATTATTATAGAATTTTAGGAGAAATACGTTCAGTGATGAGTGAGTGCAGGAAAAAATGTGGAAAAACTTTTTTGCCAAACACTTCTCTGAGAAATCCTATTGAATTTCTATTGGAACTCTATAAAAATTCCAATTTTCCAAGTTTTTTCCACTGTTTTTTTTATTTGGTTTTCATAATCGAACGGAGGCAAAAAAACTTGGAACATCTGGGCCCAAAATTTTTATAGAATTCTATGAAAATACCAACATCTATAAACTTTTTTCTAAAAGCAAATATTTACTTAAAAACGCATAGGGTTGTTACATAATTTTTACTTGAACTGGCGCAAAAAAATAGAATTTTCCGATAGAATTCTTTAAAGAAAGTGCTAGGATTTTCTATTAATTTTTTTCATACGTCCAAACCCACTTGTTACAAAGATATTGTCATGATTAAAATGTAGAAAATTACTTCATTCTGTTATACCTCACGTTATACTTCACCACTGAATCGTCCTGTTACACATTGAATAATGTTTTAGTTGGTTATTGGGCTGTTTTCATTTCATTACTGCTTTACTCTTTGCTCTCCAGGTAATTTATCAATTCGCTTATTAAAATATTGGAGATTTCTCTATTAATAAATTCGTACATCTGAAAAATGCAATAATTCGCACGCTTGAATCAAACAGTTGATTGCACAATCTCTTGTGTAATGGAAAGTAATTAGTGTCTATCTCTAATGTAAATTCATCGATTCACGCCCGCACGTGTTCGATAATAATTCGCTAACATAGTGTGTTGTTACTGGCTAGAACTCCCACAAACTCGACATAATGAAGCACAACCATCAAATACTGAGCAAGATGGCTCTATGGTCGATTTCATCATCTCCCTACTCTGCGGAATTATTTGTAATAATGAACAGTACGGTAAACCTGTAGGTAAGAATCATCATTCACATTTTCGTCGAGAAAACTATTATTCTGAGAGTTTTCAACCTTATGCAGCTGTGAAATATTCTAGAGGAGAGAGGTTTCCAATTATGAAACCAATGCGTTGAGAGAAAAATATTGGAACTTTTTTTTTATTCAAATTTCATTGACTACGGAGAAGGTCCTCTGTCTTTTTTTGTGATAAACCATCTTGTATCAGAGATGTTTTATAAGTAATTAGATGAAATGCACCCAGAAGAATGATGCGCTTCAATGAAATCACGCACGAAAAAAATTTATAGAAAATCCGATCATTTTTTGGCCGATTTCATTCATCAATTCTGAAATTTTATTGCGCGTTTTTTACGGGAAATGTCCAATAGAAACTATTTTATTGAAAAAATCATCTCACACAACTTTTCCTATTGAGATATGAATTTTCTAAGTTTTTTTTACTTAATTTTTCTCTTCTTTTCATTAAAAAATCGAGCAAAAAAACAGAAAATTAGAGCCGAGGAGTTTCTCTAGAAAATATCTCAATAAAATGAGTTGTATGGAGGAATCAAATTCTATTAATTTTTCCTGTGGAGTATTTTCCATTGATCATTTCTATTGAAAAAAAATTGTAATTTTTGAACTCGTTCATAATAATTAAACTCGTTCCCTGGGATCACTTTGCTGCAACGAATCATTTATCGTCATATCTACTTTGTGTTCCATGCTGATGCTGCGCTTGATGATTGTATAATTCTCCCTAACCATTACCAGATAGCTTTTGCTAATTAATACGGCAATGAAAAATCACCAGTTGGAATTATTTGAGAAATTGTCGAATGAACCAAGAACTGAAACTATTATTCTAGAAATGCATAACGAGGGATTCAGCAAGGACATTTGTCGCAGCATGGTGGCCATGATGGATACTGATCACTCTGGGAAACTCGGCTTCGAAGAGTTCAAGACGCTGTGGAATGACATAAGAAACTGGAGGGTGAGTTTTTTATTTTTTATTTTTTTCCGGGCTCTTATGGTCGAAAAAACCCTCGACATCATTTTCTTTAATCCATTTCTTTTCTTTTCTCATTGAAAAAATCAAACAAAAGAACTTCGAAAATAGGAGTAGAGGAATTTCTGGAAAAATATCTCAATCGAACAAATTGTAGAAAGGAATCAAATTCTACTGATTTTCTCTATAAAATCAGTAGCGAAGTGGTAAAAGGAGATAAGTCAATTTTGACTATTGACCAGTTTTCAACCATTATCTCGGAATCTAAGGTAGATAGCAAAATGTTTGTTATAACCTTTTTTGTGGAGCCAATTGAGTGCTGCAACAAATGTAATTACGAAAATTTCGCTATCTCCCTTAGATTTGGAAATATTCCTCAAAAGCTCAACTGGGAGATAAGTCGACTTATCTCCGTTTACCACTTCACTACTGAAATAATCTCCACTGAACATTTCTCTGGCGAAAAATGCATCAACAGGCTGCGGATTTTTTCAACAGAATAAGCAAAATTAATAGAATTTTTAACAGAAATTCAGAAGTCCAGTAGGATATTGGAATTAAAATGCTCAATTTGCTCGATGTTGCTGTTATACTTTAACATCTACGAATTCCCTAGATTTTTCTATAATTGTTTTTGCCGCTTTACTTTTAAAATTCATGATCGTTCTTTTCATGCTTAATTTTTAGGCTGTATTCAGACTCTACGACACGGATGGCTCTGGCTACCTCAGTGCCTTTGAGCTCCGCCAGGCCCTCAACAGTGCTGGATATCGACTGAACAATCACATTCTGAATATTCTTGTGCATCGATATGGGACTAAAGACGGGCTTATTCACTTTGACGACTACATCATGTGCGCAGTCCGACTGAAAACTATGATCGGTCAGGGTCACTACTCTTTGGATGATGAATTATTGCTCGTATAGGGATGATGATTTTAAATATCTCATGATTATCTTAGTCATTGCAAATGCAGGTGCAACGCATTATCTCAAATGATTGATTTTTCAGTTTTATAATTATTACATTTTATTAGGGAAGGGTAGGGTAAAATGGGAACTTTTGACTTTTTTTGAAATATTCCTGACGTGTTGAATTGTTCATGAAATGGAAGTTTTATTTTTCAATTAAAAACAATGATTCCTCTTTGTGATGAGCTTAGACTGAGCTCAATTGATAAATCTGTTTCTGAGTTATGAATATTTTTAAAAAAGTCAAATGTGTCCATTTTACCCCACGCTCCCCATTACTGTTATTATTACTATTGGTATTATTATTATTTCAAATAATTGATTTTTCAGTTTTACAGTGCAACGCAGTGCACTTGCATTTGCAATGACTCCATAGAATTCCTGTAGAATTCCAATAGAATTTTCTAGCGAATGCGCTAGGTTTTCTATTGAATTTTTTCATACGTGTCCATGTTTTAATTCAACCTCTGAATATTCCCCGACACTTTTATCTCATCAAAAATACAGTGGGAATTGTCGTAATCATCGATGCGTCCCCATACTCTCGAAATATTCACCGCTTACATCAATGTTTCTCGGTATGAATAACCAATTAACTGAATCTGCTTTGTTTTGCAGACATCTTTCACGAACGTGATCCCCAGCATACTAACTCAGCTACGTTCACATTGGAAGAGTGGATGGAGAAAACATTGTATTCATAAACGTAACATAATGACTCATTAAAAAAAAAAAACGAAGTAAATTATTTTAAATTATTTGAAAAACATTATCTATTGTTGGCATTTCAATTCGATAGTCTCGCTCCACTGATGATTGATCAATAATTAATTGAGTAACTGATTATTAATTAGTCATTCAACGAAATCAAAGGAAACCAATTTTTTTACGCAAAACTGAAAATTCCGGAATACGTCCATTTTTAGATGTTAATTACATGTTCATGTTCGATATTTAATAATTATTCGTTAGTCTACCTCCATGTGCCTAAATGACTTGCATTTCTTCTCGTGAATACAATAATAATCATCACAATAACAATTATTGGTGTTAATAACCATAAACATCTGGTATATGATATATTCAGGGACAATTCAAATAACGAATATGAAAGGTAATATATTTTGGAAGGAGTCATACTTCGAACTCTTGTTAGAACTTTTTTCTTCCAATTTTACAGGATTAAATGTATTAATTGGTCATTATGGAATTGATTGTATTGGGAGTATATTTTCGAATAAATTGTCATGACGTATTATAATCTTCCAAGTATTTCCAATTCGTTCAACATTTTTATTCTTTGTATCCCATCACTATAATTCACTCAAGAAATTTACAATTCCCTCTCCGTCGGACTCATTCCCAATCTTTATTGAAAATGCTCTTTGAAAATATTCAGTTCTTTTTCTGTTTTTTTTTTATTGTGCAATCATAATTTTTATGGACGTTTCGAAATATTTTATTTACTTATTTGTTTGCTTCCAACTTGTTTAGCTTACAGAATCCTGAGGAAGCTTAAGTTATAAGCGAAACGTCGCGAATTGGCAATAATCTAGTGCAGTTTGTTTTCTCCTATGGAGATGAAGAATAATAATTTAATTGAAAATAATAATGTCAATAACGATCCACTCCCCCCAAAATTTTTTAGTAAATATTTTTTATTAATCAACAACTACAAAATACACTGCTGTAATCATACAATGAGGCGTAATTACAGATAAATTAAATACCCTTTAAGCTCGAAAGAATAAATACTAATAAATAAAATTAATTGAGCGAACGAATGCGACTTTATATCGTAGTTTCGCTTCAAGTCGATCGGTATCAGTCTTTGATCACTATCCACTCTTCATTTGATCATCAATTCATTAAATTAAGTAATCTTCTTGACATCTAGATAATCCAACATAAGAATTGCGAAGAAATATCATTCAGAATGAAACATGAAAAGGTGACGAGGCATGTACTTAATCACCTACTTTACCTGTAAAATTTATCATTTTCCCTTTTATAATATCAATTTCTCTTATGTATTCATCTTCGTATTATACAATAAATAATTGACTAGAAAGAAATACGGAATGGTAAGTAAATACATTTATGATAGAGTCACATCCTTTTCTTTTCACGTGATATCATAGAGGCTGTCTGGATAGAAGATGATTATCGTCAGGAGTGATTTACATATGAAAATCTAATCTATTACACGTAAGGTTTTTCTTCAATTGGTTTGGTCTGGTCACTTATCATTAGTATTCATTAGAAATTAATTTATACATTATTCTACAGTTATTCTGCAAATAAAATAATTATTTCATCGTTTTTTCATCAACTGAGTTCAACAAATGAGTCACAATTTCAGCGAAATCTCTAAAACCGTCAAGTTTAGAAGAAAAATTCAAAAGACACTTTTTGCAGGAAATTTCATGATCCGCAAAAAATATCTTTTGATATTTTTCCCTAGAGCTCTTCCCTCGGGAGATATCCGCAAAGTCCCCCGCGATGTCTTTCATCTTGCTAAAATTCTGATGACAGACTAGAGAAACTTTTTTTCTTGATTCGAAATGATAAACTAAAAGTAAAAAGCGTAAAGTTTCATCTACCTCTACAGATCCTAAGTAAAGCCTCGTGATTTACGTCAAAAATACAGTCTTTTGATAATTACCGAAATATTCAATCTGTTCACCTCACTCCTCTGAATTCAATTTAAAATCTATCCGAACGATCAGCCTACGAATGATATGGGAATGTCCATGAGTTATCTGTTCTGTACCATCTAAATCCTATTTAGATACTTCACATTGAGAAGAATTCCAACAACCGAATGAGAGAGTTGAAGAGTTTCTATTACTTCATTATTCGGATCATTCGGTGATACTTTGAAAATTATGGGGTTTATCAAAAAACATCAGAGATCTTTCTTTATAGTTGATCAAATTCCCTACGAAAAAAGTCTTGTGATATTTTCCCCTGAACGTCTTGCTTCCAAAGATATTTACAAATAACTTTTTCCTGCTTCCCCAGACATTCTTATGAACACAATCTCACCCAGAATTCCTCAATTATCTCCAAACCCTCAGTGCGATATTTTTTAATAAACCTAGTAGTTTTTTAACTGAGAATGTTTGGAGAATAGTTGTTTTTTTTACATTTTCCCCTAAACCTTTTCGTTTCTTTTTGCTCTCCATTCTCCCAAACATTCTCACGAATAAAATTCTCTCCACAATTCTTCAAATATCTCTGAAACCACTACGTTTACCAAAAAATATCAGAACTGTTTTTTCTATCTCATTCTCTACAAAAAAGTCCCTCTGACATTTTCCTTTTTCCCCCCGAAATTTACTCTCCCTACTCTCTACCTTCCTTGGACCTGTGCACCCTGACAGGTGACTCGCAGCTCCTGATCTCCCTCATGGGAATGCTCTCATTGCCCCCCCCCCCC